TATGGAGTACGGTTTATTGCCGGACAACAAGACTACGTCGAACGCCAAACTGCTCGAACACAGCCTGATGAATACCTGTTCCAGTTCACCGAAACTGGAAACCCGATCGACTTGCGCCGGAATTTCCAAAGAGAAGCAAGTAGACGCCTACAAACCCGTCTTGCTGCATTTGCTACTCAAAATCCGGTACGTTTTTCTTTAATTGTTGTGATGCCTCATAAAGAAACTAATATCGACGGGTTTATTGGAAGGATAGGGGGCCGAGCCACCAAATATCATCTTTCGGTGCTGCCGTTCCCATTGGGTCGAAAGCGATTTTCCGTTCTCGCTTGACGAGGTAAAGGAGATACTCACTAACCTTATCGAGGCAACTAATGCTGGAGCACATTTGCTACAGCAGCTTACAGAACTGTGTACCGACGTGAAGTCATACATGGACGAGGAATCTTTGACGTTGTAATCCCACAAAATAAGCGGGCGCAGATGGAATGCTAACAAAATTTCTCTAGAGCGTATCCCCTTAACGGGCTACAAACGAAAACAAGATCAATTGAACGGTTTAATACAAAAACATTTTTTAACCTATATTGACGTACTGCGGAATGTGGTCGCTGTGCGACGTCTTGATGTTTTCGTTTCCTGGCTCGTGAGCTCCCAAAGACATCTGGCAGTTTCGGTTTTTGTGGCATGCAACGGCGGATTTTGCCTGGTGCAAGCTACTCCATTTGTGTTCAAATGCTGCCTGCTGACTGGTATATCGCTTTGTAGCTTGTTACACCCGAAGGTTCGGTGTATGCTTTGTCGACACAAACGATAGCTACGACATCACAGGACCGTCCTTTGCGGAGATGTCCGTATGAGCCCTCCAAAGTGAAACTAAAACAGAATCTATCGCATGTGCAACAATCTTATTCGACGCGATGCACACAAGTAAAGTTCACGGAATCAATATTCTAGCTCTTTTGGTGGTGGAGCTACCCTCAAGAAGCACCTTGCTGCAACTCGAACACAATGTGCTGACGGCTCAACTGGTATGAGCACGGATCGACGTTCCGTTGGTCCATGGTTCAAACCCGACTGAGCCAATTGAGGGCATATTATGGGAAGAGGGTTGTCGCGAGTAAAACTCGTTAATTCCCCGCACAACACAACAAGGTAAGCACAGCTTTAGTGTTATAGCTCTTAACTGGTCGCACTACTAACATTGTTTTTGCTTTATCAAATTTTCATGTCAGAGTATCTACCTTAGAATGTTAGTATCTTATCATGAGACGGATTATTCATCCGCGCAAGAGGAGCCCCACGCGTGCACCGACTTGTACAAACCACGATTGATCGGCCGCACCTGTCCCGATCTGAGACTCGTTGTGTGGTCCTACCCTGTGCAGCGCGGGCAGTAAATCGGCGTTGTCGAGCGGTGGGGCTCTACCCAGCAATCAACGGAAGGGTTAACTCATAGCAGCAGCTGCAATTCAGCACACATAGGAGCTCGTACCGCACTTCCAGGTCGGCCACCTCGCTTACCGTATCGTCCCGCTCCTGTAGGCTTCAAACTGGATCCTCACAGGAGCGTGACCTGCCAAGCACACCATGCTTCCTATCGCGGCCGCACCTGTCTCGACCCAAGTGCTGTAGTATGGACGCACACTGTTCAGTACAGACAGCAAGTCGGTGTCGCTGAGCTGTGGGGCTCCGGCCAGCGATCAACTTGGTCCCCAACGGCAACCCCAATTTAGCACGCACAGGAGCTCGTAGCACTTCCAGGTCGGCCACCTCGCTTACCGTATCGTCCCGCTCCTGTAGGCTTCAAACTGGATCCTCACAGGAGCGTGACCTGCCAAGCACAGCATGCTTCCTGGCGCGGCCGCATCTGTCTCGACCTGATTCGCGTAGCGTGGTCGCGCCGTCATACGCACAGACAACTGGTGGTTTCCCCGAGGTTATGAGCTAACCACCCACAAATGCTGGAGAAAATGTCAATAGCTAAATTGTAGTGGCCAGTTGCTATTTGTTGACATTGAAAAAATATATTTAATTGTGAGTTGTTAGTGTAATTTTTAGCTGATTATCTCCGTTTAGTTAATTCATGACATTAGAATAGGTGCTCGTCGTAATGTTCGCATAGACACGTCGTCACTATCCTCGATTTTAATTCGCTGATTTTAGCAAGGTAGATGAGATTATTGGCTATATGCAAAGGGTCCTAATAGACCCCTAATGGTTCAGCTGTACTGAAAGGGTTAAGGCGGTATCTGGATTTATCGACTTTTGTATGTAAAACTTTCGGTCACATCGAGAAGCGACTCACGAGTCACGTGGATCCAATGTCGCCAAGTTTATCGCCGTTTGTAAGGATCCGATGGTCCAGACAAGTCTGACAGTAGATCACTACCAGAAACGGTGATTCTGATGGATGTGTAAACTGCCTTCCCATCTACCCATCAAGTAACATAAACTCTATTGATAGCATACTTTGTTTCGAAGCAACAGCTACCATTTTCCCTATAATGCTGCATTATCCTCGTATGCAAAATGTACTTGAGGCCACTTCAACTGCTCCAGTAATGCTATCCCCACCTTTCCTATCTCCCAGATGCCAAGCGCGACTGATCAATACCCGTTCGTTCTCAGCTCATTCTGCAACTTGCTCGCCCATCAACAAGTATCCAAGCCATGCTGTTGCTAAAGTCGCTCGCTATTGCTGCTGTAGCAGCGACCGTCGTCACCTCCACATTCGCACTAGAGGAGGGTGACTACTACCGTCCTTCCAGCGACGAAGCCTCGGGAGTCTACGGCACGACAGCTCCGTACCGTCGATCGCCGTGCCCCGCTCTCAACACGTTGGCTAACCACGGTTACCTGCCTCGCAACGGGCAGAATATCACACACGACATGCTGGCCACTGCTTTAGAGAACGTATATAACATCGGTTCCACCGTGGTGGCGATCCTGGTCTCTCAGGTACCGGACCCTATCAGTTTGGACTATCTTGGCATCCACAACAACATCGAACACGATGCATCGCTTGCTCACACCGACGCCTACTACGGTCACGACCCGATGTTGGCCAACAAGACGCTGGCTGAGGATTTCTTTAATCGCGCAGGAAGTGACGGACTGCTCACCAACAAGATCGTGGCGAAGACCCGCAAGGACAGAGGGAAGACTTGCAACGCTGAGAACCCGGAGTGCACGTACGGAGTGAAAGCACAAACGTTGGCGTTCTTGGAGGCGTCAGTGCTTTTGATGGCCCTTGGCAGCGGTAATTCGATCTCGGTTGACCACGCGCGCTCGTTCATCATGGATGAAAAAATCCCCGACGACTACACTCGCCCCAAGTCAACTGTTGGCGTCGTGGAGCTGTCAGCCAGAGCCGCGTCTCTGAAGGCACAGTCGCTGGTATAGATGAAGCTCTGACGACTCATATACACATTTTAATGCCGCTTGCTTACGATGATTTCTCTCGCCGATAGAACAATGCATGCTCGCGCACAGTGACAATGACAGTTATAATAGTGTACTGTATTCTTCACAGCTCAGACAATGCCACATCCTGTTTCAGATTCTGCGTGTTTTGTTCGAAACAGATATCACTTGGATGCACTGTGGAGATTTGTCATTCCGCTGTTGGATGCTTGCTGAACGACGTCATGCCATTCCATCAGCTCATCAGGTTACCGCTTTGGCACGAATCTTGATCAGTCTCGTAAGCAAATTTCTGTATCTTATTTTAAACTTTAAGGAAGAAGAGACCAAGCGAAGTATAATTTTGTCCTCTTGGTTGTTGGTACAACAACTTTCGTGAAACAAGACATCCAAGAACGTCCCAGCAAGTCGCTATTAGCGACCACTGGCGAGATGTCCAGCAGCGAGATATCTACTGAGGTACGGTACTTGAGTGCAGTATCTTATTCTAAACGTCGCTTTCCGTGAAGTAGTGCCAAGGTGTACAGCTCATTGACATGTGAGGCGCAATGTGCAGTCCAGAACGGCGCTGACCATGCGTTTCGCTGGCCAAATTCAACGCTGGCAAGGACTTAGCTTATGCTACGTTACTAAAAAAAAATCTTATTCAAATGACCCCATGAAGCACTGAAAGCGAGCTAGCCCGCCAGCATCTTTTGCTGGTACACGTACTAGCAGCGGATGGAATCGAGGTGCAATGTGTGACGAGGCTGTACAGTATTTCGGTAGCAGTCTTTATTCTCATCGCCTTTCCCTGAAAAGCCTGCCGCAAAATTAGGGAAAGGTGGCAAAGCAAAATACACGCAGACTCGTATTTTTTCCGCTTGCATCGCATAACCACGCTCACCGGGCGAGTCAAAGCCAGCGAAGTTCTGGACTCCAATGGCGGATCTGACTATTCTCGTTCGCGGCTGTCGGAATTGCAGTGGTCACCAATCCATGCTTCCACTTCATATCGTTACTTTTCGCGATCCGGACCCATTCGGGTCTGATTTCAGATATTTCCCAATTATTTTTCTCTGAAATGGTGGAGCATACCGTAATCAACATCATCTACCTTGAATACAAATACGAAACATTAATTTCAGTCAAATTTGTCCTAATTTATGCCCAACTGTGCGTGGTGCACGTTACTTTGAATACCATATTATTGAGTCCCACACGGTGCACCTTATCGCTACTTCTATCCAGCACTCCCATACCAGAGACATCCCTCGCAATCGTGCACGCGTTCCCGCCTCGTCGAGTTGCAGGGCTCGCTACTTGTACTCCATTGCAGACCAAGAGGAAGGGGAGGGACCACCTGCCAACCCAGAGGAGAATCTGCGCTGTAGCCGCTCTCCCATCCACCCAAGCTCTCGCTCTGCTAGCCGACGGACAAACGCAATGGATTTCACGCCGAATGACAATGATGTGGACATGATGCACGATGACTCGATGCTCAACGCCAATCTGGCAGCTCAGTACGGTCACCCGCAACAGGGACAGCGTCTTCCGCCCCACCCGGGTATCCCGGGCATGAACGCCGATCCTCAGGCGGTCTTCCCTGGTGTCTACGTGCCTGGTTTGAACCCTATGGACCAACCTCAGCAGGGTGATGCCATGGAGGAATACGCTCGCCTTATGGGTATCAAGGTGGAGAACGACGATCCAAACGTCAACGCCAACGCCTTCAATATGGCCGGTCCCAACAACGATATGTCCAAGATCCAGGCCAATGCCGCCTACTTCGAGAACCTCATCAACCGCGACCGCAACGACGGCATGGATGACGGTAACAACGTCACGTCCATGACGTTGCCTGCGGGTATTGGAGGCGGCATGAACGGCTTCATGGGTGCACCCATGCCACCTGCGCCCCCCATGTACAACCCCAACACGGAGCTGGCGTTCCAGGACGGAGGCTCTCGACTGTACGATCCGTCGTCTGGTTTCCCTGGACAGACTCCGCCTCTGCCCTTCCACAAGGGCCCGCAGGTGCGGCCCGGTATGCTTCCACCCGATATGGTCGGGTCGCAAACGTTGCCGCCCGAGATCATCTCGGCTATGATCAAGAACAATCCGACGCATAACTTTGAGAACCTAAGCGAGGACGAGAAACAGGCCTTGATCAAAGAGGAAAAGTCGAGAGAACGCAACCGTGACCACTCGCGTAAGTCGCGTCTGCGCAAGAAAGAGTTCGTCGAGTCGCTCAAGCACGAGGTCGGACAGCTGCAAGTGTACCAGCAAATCTGTGAGCAGTGCATGGATTGCATCGCTCTAGTGGCGGCGGAGGCCTCGGCAGTGTTCCTCTTCTCGAGCGCCGCCTATACGCGCGTTCTTGGATACCAGAACCACCAGATTGTGCCCGGTCAGACGAGCTTCCTGGACATGGTGCACCCGGTGAGTCGGTTATGATGTTCGTATGATTGTGTTATAACCGACATTGCTAATTATTTTGTGTATTTTTTGTGGCGAATAGGATAATGTGCAGGAAGTTCGTGCGGTGTTCACGAAGCTCAACACGCTGGGCGAGACTCATAGATGTATGTACTTCTCTGCCGCGCTGGGGTATGTGGTCACAGCTTTGATAATGGTTATTTGGCTATTTAACAGTTAAATTCCGAATAAAATCAACGGACGGCGAGTACTTCAACGCGGAGACGACGGCTCGCCTGGCGGAGAAGGGAGTGGTGTGCTCGACACGCGTGGACCGCGACATCTAAAGCGCGAGCTCGATGCAGCAGCCTCCACAACGAAGGCGATGACAGGGCGATTAGGACAGGTCCATCGCAGACAGGCTCTGCTTGGCAAACTGCAATGTGTACGAAGAGCGAACAGGTGGCACCGTCTTAGGAACCAAACAGCAGACAACCTATATTTTAATTATGTGGTTGACGACAAAAGCGCGGAAAAGCCCGACGAGAGGAACTAGCATCGAGAAATACTCGACCCAGAGCAATGGACGTTAAATATACAGACCGCGTTTGATGGCCGCCACTGTGGAGTCCAATGTGGACCATTCGAAGAGCGATGATGATTCAGAGGAAGCTATGACTCGCTGATTCAGCCTGCGTCACGTTGGCGTGGCGGTCCTCAACTACAAATGAGCTGTGCTCGCACTGCAACGTAGTACTTCAGTAGATCCATAATTGTCCTGCTTGCCTAAAAGCGAGTAACTTCCAGTTATTCCAAGCCTTCGAATCGATGGGCTGGTGGAATAGAGCGCCGCCGTGAAGTTGTCTCGGATATGAGTGAAACAAGCCAACGCAGCGTTTTTTCGAGCTACATCTCGCACTTCCAAAGACGCGAGTTAGAGAGCAGTTCATTTCTAGCAGTTATATCTCAGATGTGGATTGACAAAAATCCTCTTCAATCCGATCAAAAAAGAAATTTTGTTATAGTCCCGTCAATTGTCATCTCGCGACCGCCTTTTTGTTGCCTGCAATAGGACATCGCAACTCACTAAGAAAATCAGAAGAAGGTGACGCTGGCAGTTCGTGATTGAAGACGTCGTGCACACTCGAAGAGCCGTACCGACAGTCTCTTTATGGAGGCGGCGGTTGTGGAGAGCATTTCCAAGGCGCTGGGACTGCCCCGGCCCTTCCTGAGCGAGCCCAATCGCGCCTTCACACAGCTGGAGACATGGCAACAGCTCACCGCGCTGCTGGCCACACAACCCGTGACAATCAAGCCGCTGGGCTACTATCGAACTCCAGACAGTATTGAAATGTACGTCCACGCTCTGAATTGTCCGTCATAGTCGCAGACAGTTGGCCGCCATGCTATAATTAGATACTCATATAGATATGACTAACTTATGTGTATACGGTATGATCATATAGATATGTATTCGAGTGTTCGCTTGGAGACTTGTCCAGCACTCGTCGCTACAGTTGGAAGATCTACCGACGCTACAGACACTTCCAGAAGTATATATCTCATTCCTCAGAGCTGGCCAGTCGATCAGTGCGCGTTCCAAGGTTATCTCAAGCATACCTCAAGATATTCCATGCACAGCACTGCAAAGACCGACTCGTGGAACTGCATAACTGGCTGGAAGGAGTGCTGGAAAACACTCAGACTTACTGCCAGACACTGCAACAGAAGCAGGAAAAACAGGAGAAGGAGAAACTTCACGAACTTCAGCAACAAAGACTGAGACAGTTGGAGGAACAGACCAAACTCAAGCCCACAAAACACAAAACCCACAGCAGTAATGCTGCTGATATGCCCGTCACAAGTATAAACAATGGCAGGTTACGTGCACCTTCGAAAATGAGCACCACGACGGCGTCTACACGGCGAAGTAGCATCAGTTTAAAGACGATCGAGCAGCAAGGAGATCCAGCTCTCTATGTGCTACGAACGGACAAGGCAGAAGCTCTTCCAATGGTCATGCTAAGCTGCTTCTTGTTTGCTGGATCGAATTGCCCGTTCCCTCACGTATTTCGAGGTATGCCCAGCTTCGCGTTGGCATTGGAGGAGCTGAATGTTCAGCTCGAACAAGCGACACCGGCTGCGTATCCTTCTAAGCTGAGGAATTCCATGTCCACACGAGCAGGTCTGGGCTTACGATTAACGCCAAGTCACGATCAAGATGGACAGTTCTTGGGCGCCACAGTGGCAGGATTTCTTCGTGATCAACAGGAGCTGGACCCTGCGTTAGTGGATGTTCCAATTGGAGCGAAACTGGTGCGAGTGAATGGCATCGACGTCAGTGATTCGCCGTTTGATCAAGTTTTGGTTCAACTGCGCAGTGTGGGGCTGCCACTACGCTTAAGATTTCTTTATAACCCTCATATAAACCGGCAAACAAGCAGCTCGATAACACCACGAAGCAGCGTAGATGCCACGTCCGATGCAGAGTCAACGAATGCAAGACAACGCGTGGTATCGAATGCCAGTGGAGGGAGCAGCAGCGGCAACTCAACGTCTGATACTGGCAAGCCTCCAGTGAATCCGAGTTATCGCAGCTTTAGTGTCGATGCCCCTCGGTCGTCTGGTCTTTTTGGTTCAGTATTTGGTGATTTATTCGGCTCCGGAAGCTCGGAAGCGAAAACTCCAAGTGTTATGGCGAATACTACTGGTATTGTGAGTGCTGCGGGAAAGCATAGAGGAGATACGGCGGACGTCATGGGCTCTACGCACGCGTTATTGAACGGTGCCTTGTTTGCATGGGACGACGTCAGTGGAGGATCGCGCGACCTCATTTCGCGTGGATTCTTTTCGTTTTTACCACCGACTTTACTCCATGAACTGCGTCAAAAACGTCGTGCTGAGAGGAAGGCGAATGCTTTCCTCCCTGAACATGATCCAAGTGACAGTGACAGCGATGATAACCAGTCATATGAAGATTCTAGTTCCGTCATATCTCGCAAAGCTCAAGGTGTGTGGAGTACAGCAACTGGTCCGATGGGGTTATCACTTGGAGCTTGTAAGATCTGTGACGTGGAGGCAGCGATGCTAGAGGTGTCTCCGGTCTTTTTCTCGTCCAGATCTGAACATCGTGGAAGCGAGAAGCGTCTGTGCAAAGGTTTTGTACTGGTTTCTATCAACAACGAGAGCACATTTGGTGCTCCTTTTGTCACTGTGATCAAGCGACTACGCTCGGCTTCTCGTCCTACAAGCTTGTGCTTCCGTTGGTATCACGACTTCAGCCCCTTCTTAGAGACTGAACTAGCAGAGCAGCATTCGTCCAGTTTGATGAAACCGCATGCTATTGGAGCCAAAATGTTTGTCAACAGTTTAGACTGTGTAGCAGAAGCTCAGACCGATCTGAGCAATAGTTTGCAGCTCGCTCTGATGGAGAACGCTTCCGTACGTGACGAAATCAACGTTCTTCAAGACGCTCATCGGGAATTAAGACTGGCTCAGGAGCGCGCTGCAGAGAGAGAAAGAATTCTTCAAGCTAGGATTGAACAGAGCGATGTTGAGATCGCGAAACTGAAGGAAGAAGTGGATATGCAACGTCAAGAACTGGACAAAGCGCGGCTTCGTGCACAGGAGGCGGAGTCCAAGTTGGCGACTAATAGAAAGGAGTATGAAGTTATGCTCGAGAAGGCTCAAGAGAGCGCTATGACGAGACTGGCAGAGCATGAAGAACAGCTGATCAAGGAGTCGAACCGCTCGATTGAAAACTCCAACAGGTTGGCTGAACGTCGAGCGCAGAAAATGCTCGAAGCGGCGGCGAATGAAAGCCAACGCAAGCATGAAGAGTATTTGCAAAAGCTCGCAGAGGAGCACTCGGAAGAAGTGGAGAGTCTGATGCAACAAGTGGCAGTGTGGCGGCATCAAGTTGAGGTGTTAACGGAGGCGGAGAAACGCAATTATGCGGCGTTGGTGAGCAATGGAGTGAATCCGTATGGAGATTATCAACGCTCTCGCTTCGGCTACTCGAGTTCAGACTCACCGTTCGCTGACCTTAAGAGTGGCAACGACCTGCGAAGGAAGCAGGAGAAGACTGAGAGTTCCAGTACAACCACTGCTGCTACTGCTGCGAAATGGCGTGATGGTAGCCCAGAGCACGACAACAAGAACCATGCCTTCTCTGGGACTTCAGATCAGTCGTCTCAATCAAATAATGGCACGTTCTGGGACCGCATGGTGTCGCTACTAGGCACAGAGTGAGTAGACAGATAACGCTTATGAGTTTTGTTTAGTATAAACGACCGGTTATAAGTTTCCTTCAAGTACTTGTTAATTCTGTTCAGTTTCGTATCCGTATGTTGAAGGTTAACTTAGGTTGAAGGTTAAGTTTAGGATTATCCAATCACAGAGCTGCGTGTCAACGTTCATTTCGGAATATATATTGCCAAATATGAGTGTGGCCATTCCGACCAAAGTGCTACCGAGTGGTGCGCGAATCCCGGTTATCGGGTTCGGCGCTTACTTGGAGAATGACGTCACCAACTCGTACAACATCGTATTGTCGGCACTGAAGCAGGGCTACCGTCACATCGACACTGCGCAGCTGTACCACAACGAAGCTGAAGTCGGTCGCGCAGTTCGAGATTCTGGTATCCCACGCGAAGAGATCTTTGTGACCAGCAAGTTGTTCCTCATAGACTGGGGCTACAAAAGGGCTTTGGACAGTATTAAGAAGAGCAACCAGAAGATCGGACTCGGATACATCGATCTGTTCCTACTGCATGCGCCGGGAGATGCTGCTACTCGAGCTGAGACCTGGCGTGCGGTGGAGGAGCTGCACGAGCAAGGGATCTTGAAGGACATTGGCGTCTCCAACTTCAGTGGAGCTCACATTGATAAGCTCATGAAGACAGCCAAGGTGAAGCCTGCAGTGAACCAGATCGAGGTGCACCCGTGGCTCACACGGCCGGAGACGGTCAAATACTGCCAGGACCACGACATCATCGTGCAAGCGTATTCCCCGTTAGTAAAGGGTTACAAAATGAGGGATTCAACCTTGATTGAGATTGCGAACGAGGTGAACGCTACGCCAGCACAAGTTCTGGTTGCCTTCAGTCTGGCCAGAAACATCATTCCTCTGCCGAAATCCGCCAACACCAAACGCCAGAAAGAGAACCTCGAATCGACTAATGTCAAACTGTCTGCTGAGCAACTGGACAAACTCATGGCGCTGGACGAATACTACGTCACCGATTGGGATCCGATCCGAGACGAGGAAGTGTAAGGACAAGCAAGGTCTGGTACACACGACTAGCAAAAGCTGCACGTCTATCTGAACTGAGGCTGGAAAATATCTGCCATAAGACTAGACAAAAGCACCCCTGTCTACCTGATCCCTTAGCGGAATAAACTGCAACAGCACTTCCAACCTTGCCTTGCTTTAACTTCTTCCCAGTCTTACCCTTTGGTATCGTATCGAGGCAATCTCTCCTACGTAATCTTTTTGTGTGGTGTACATCACTAGTTTCTTTCGCATCACGCTGCATCATCTACGTCCCACGGTTACACTCTCTCTGGTCGTCAATTGGCCAAAAATTAACCGATGGGAGAGCGTCAGTTCCGTCTCGCAACTAGTCAGCATCACTAGCTAGAGAGGGACGAGCAGCACCAAGCGAAGGGGAAGCGCAATTTCCTCCTCCACGATGATCAAGGTCAAGTGGGACTCCACGTATCGCCCCGCGAACGGCTCGAGCAATGCGCCGACGACGTCAGGCGAGCGCCCCACGCTCACCGCGCTCATGGACGGCATCGTCATCAACAGCAGCAGCGTCAGTAGCAACGCGGGCACAACACGACGTCCGCCTATGCCCAAATGGGACATGGGCACTATTTCCGAGGACACGATGCCTGCAGCGTTCACTGCAGCGTCTGCTGGCTGGTCTAACGACCGCTTCGAGCTCACAGAGAGCGGAGAAGTGCGCAATAAGGCCACAAAGCAACGTATTTCCAAGCAGGAGATCCGAGAGCACGGCGAAGAAGTTTTACGCGGACTGATTGATAACGTACACACCAGAATGTTACAGGAGCTTCTGTTCCTTGAACAAGCCATCCCTCCGCTCGAGTTTGAACGCAGCTCGGTCGAGTCAGGCTTCGATCCTGGAGCCAGTAATGCCGGCAGCAGTGCGAGCGTCAGCAGCTCGGTACGCTCCAGTTCGTCCAGTATCTGCTCCACCAATGACGGATTCCGTATGATGATCGACACGGACGAACCAAGATGCATTTTCCACACCAGTAAGAACTTCAGCGTGGCCGAGAAACTACTGGTCTTTGTATGCTCTTTCCGAGGTCTCAGTTGTGGCATTTGGAGCCGCAGTGTGTTGCTCAAAGACGGCGTTAAAGTCGGCTCCATGTTGCCATATTTCCAGAAGGCTATCGCTGCTGGATACGGTATTCTCGTCATGAATCCCAACATGAACACCCAACTTATGGTAACTCAAGACGGGACAGTGGAGAAGATGCCTATTCGAGGCTCCAGCAACGCAGAGGACCATTGTGACCATGTGTGGCGCAACTATATCTTCCCTTCAGCAGCTCACAAAGTCCACTTTATCGCGTACGGATACGGTGGCGTGCTAGTGACACAACTGATCGCAAAATACCGGTACGAACTGAAAAGTCGACTCGGTAATGTGGCCTTTATTGAGAGTTCGCACAAGATCGATCCGTCGTGGAATTCAGGGTTCAAGCGCTTCTTCTCACAACACAGCATCTCCTGGTCCAGATCGGACTTCCCGTTAAACACAGAGCTCAGTCGCGATGCCACAGCATTCGCCACAAGTGGGGGTCCCAGCAATACCGGTACTACTACCAGTAGCGATGACGCATTCTCGTCAACTTCACCGTCATCCAGATCTCCTAAGAGTCCCAGTGCAGCTCAACTCACTGGTTTCGGCTGCATCTGCTTGTCTGCTGGGCCGTGTGAAGGAGCCAACGAGAGTCCTGCATACACAACTAAAGAGGTTCTGGACACCGTGTTCGCCTTCCTGGCGTCTCCTACGCCCTACGAGTTCCAGCGTCGTGCAGCTCGTGAACTTCGCTTAAATACGCTGTTGGAGGAACAGCAGCAAGCTCGAACCAAGGCACCTAACGGACACAATGGAGACATCGGCCGGCCTCCCAGAGACCAGCCACGTGCACGGAAGCAGTCAGTGTATGATACAGTGCTTGGAGGTGCAGCTGGAGGTGCTCGGGAGCTCAAACCACGTGAGTACGACTCGTTAACTATCGACGACTTCGACCTCTTACGTGTGGTAGGTCGAGGAGCTTTCGGTAAGGTCATGTTGGTGCGACGAAAAGTGCCTCAACAGCAGAAAGGAGCGCGGTTATTAAGTCCACGCACGATGATGGCAATGGGGATGACTCCTCAACAGATTGCAGGTGCTACAGGCGGAGAAAGCGGCAAAGTATACGCCATGAAAGTCATCAAAAAGGCCGCAGTGTTTGCCAAGAATCAGGTGGAACACACCAAGACCGAGCGACGGATCTTACAAGGTGTAGATCATCCGTTCATGGTGAAACTGCGGTACGCTTTCCAGAACGAAGCCAAGCTGTATTTCGTCATGGATTTCTACAACGGAGGCACTTTACACTTCCACTTGCGTCGAGCCATGCACTTTGACGAAGTACGGACCAGATTCTACGCTGCTCAGTTGGTGTTGGCTATCTCCCACTTACACACGTACAACATCGTGTACCGTGATCTCAAACCGGAGAACATTCTACTGGACGACCAAGGATTTATCGCCCTAACAGACTTTGGACTATCCCACGACCATTTCGACAGCAAAGACGGCATGCAGACGTTCTGTGGCACACCGGAGTATATCGCTCCGGAGCTGATTCGTCGTGTACCGTACGGTAAAGCAGTGGATTACTGGTCCATGGGAGTCCTTATCTTCGAGATGTTGGCAGGTTACACGCCCTTCTACCATGCCAACCGTAAACGGAACTTCCAGAACATCGTCAAGCTCCCGCTACGGTTCCCGTCGGAGTTTTCTGATGATGCGAGATCGCTTTTGAGAGGCTTGATCTGTCGGAACCCGGCTAAACGACTGGGATCGGGACCGTGTGGCGCTCAGGAGATCATGGATCACCCGTTCTTCGCTGAAGTGGACTGGGAGAAACTGTACAAGCGCGACGTACCGGTGCCGTTCAAGCCGGTGGTCAAGTCGGACGGAGAAGTGAACAATGTGCCGGAATTCTTCAAACGACAGGAAGTTGTGGACTCTGTGGTGTCTGATGCTCCGATTGGAAAGAGTCACGTGTTCCAGGGATTTTCGTACACGGACCCGTACAACCTGTAGTTCAGGACAAGAGATTTTAGTGATTGAGGTCAAGATTTTTGATGTGCTCCAGCCGTAGAAGGGAGAAGAAAACTGAAAAAGTAAGATATCGAGCAACCCAAGCGTCGATCAAGCGTTCAATGTGCACGCAGCTTCGTGCTGCTTCCCAATGCATGTACTGCGTTCGTGCAAAATAAAATCCAAATACTTTCAAACGCATTCATTTTTATTTTTTCTCATAAGCTAAAGTTGTTTTTTGTTACCCTCATATCGTGTACTAGCACGATCACATTGCCGGTAGCTCAGTAGTATTTGATCTCGCGGTCGTTTAGAGATTGCGTGGGGCGGTTGTCCGAGGCGTCGTTGGTGGCTGGGAGATCGCCGTACGCTTTCTTCAATTGGTGAAGCTCGTCGTACGAAATGGAGATCGGGTTGTTGAGCACCCACCAGTCCACGACTTCACTGCATGGTGGAGTGGTCAAGCTGCCGTTGTAGTTGAAAAGGTGGCTCTTAGCCACCAGACCATTCAACATCTCAGCGTAGTTCATGCTAAAAAAAAATAAAGTTAGAATCAGATAGTATTAAATTTCTGCATTTTTGAACGTACCCGGCATCTTTCAGATTGAAGGTGCTCTCTTCCGACTCGAGATCCTTCCAGAGGTTCTTAATGAACGCGTTCTCTTCCATGTTCGGCTCAGCGTGGAGGAAAACACCGGTCACTAGGATCTTGCCACTACCGTCCACTGCCTTGTGGACAAAGTGGATCTCGGCGTCGTAGTGGTAGTCGTCGAGCGCATGCTCCGACGTCGCGTGCATGTGGAACTGAGCCAGTCCGTACTCACGCTCATCGAAGTTGATGGACTTGACCGTGCAGTCTACAAATAATACGTAAGTTTTGGCTTTTACTAAATAACATAGGGTTGTTATACTCACGCTCGTCTCCGTTGATCTCCCACTTGTACAGATCTTCGAGTTTCTTGAGGGTGAACTTGCTGCAGTCTCCTCCGTACTTGAGCGGGGCATGAGCCATTCCCCAGTCGTTGTGCGAGAGTTTACGCACTGGGATATTGATCGGGGACTGGTGGGAGCCACCGCATGTCGGGTAGGATTCCTTCCAGTCAGCAGGACCCAATTCTTCGTCGGTTGACTCCTTGTACCCCCACTTGTCCGTTCCAGCTTTACCGGCAGCGATTAAAGCCGCACCCAATAGTAATACACGCGACACAACACTGATCATGGTTTTTTCCTGGTTGCCTACCACGGTGTGGATTCAAAAGTGACCGAGGATTAGCGACCATAGATCCTTCGTTGAGCCACCAGAAAGATCCCGGTGTGCTATTGCCCAAGAGGCTCTAGATTCATCAATTGACGGCCCCCAAGCATTCTAAAGCGCCGCCGACTCCTGCTATTGCACAATGCTCAGCCGTTCATTACCAAGATCGGATATCTACGTCGTTTCGTGCTCATCATGTTCCACACACCAATACTCTTTAGTTTTTCTTTTATCTCTCTGCTTATGAAACTATTTTTTTTTATTTTATTTTTTAAGCTACTAAAGTGTGACTGTCTGTAGCTAACTTTTCAGAACGGGAGTACGGTCCATCATCGTAGCCTTGTTATTCTGCATGGGGTCGACGGAAGTAGTAGATGATTTCACGATCGTTGAGAGGTTGAGTGGGGCGGTTGTCAGTAGAGTTGCTCGTAGCTGGAAGCTCACCGTACAGCGTCTTCATTTTCTGGAAATTGTCGAACGAGATTGAAATCGGTTTGATAAGCACCCACCAGTCGACAATTTCACTGCAACCAGGTGTGGTCAAACTTCCGTTATAATTCATCAGGTGAGCTGTCTTCACGATACCGTTGAGCATGTCCGCATACTTCGTGTCGTTTTTGCCAAGATCAAACGTCGAGTTACTGCTCTCCATTCCGCCCACAAGGTTCTGGATGAACGCGTTCGGTTGCGTGTCGTTTTCAGCATGTAGAAACACGCCCATGACGAGAAGTTTGCCGCTGCCGTCCACTGCCTTGTGAACAAAGTGGAGCTCGGCGTCGTAGTGGTAGTCATCGATCGTGTGTTCCGACACTATATGCATGTGGAACTGAAGCAGAGAGTACATTCGCTCGTCATAGTTTACGGACTTGACAGTGCAGTCTGCAGCGACAAGCAATCGTGTAAGTTCTGTAGTACTTCGAACCACACGGCAAAAATCTACTCACTTTCATCTTCCTGAACATCCCACTTATACAGATCCTGGAGTTTGGTTAGTGTGAATTTCTCGCAGGCACCGCTATACTGGAGTGGAGGTTTTTCAGCATCCCACAGTTCAATGTGAGAGATTTCCCGCATTGGAAAATTGATCGGAGACTGGTGTTTCCCTCCACATTCGGGATACCCGACGTGCCAGTCATCAGGTCCAAGCTCTTGGTCCATCGTCTTCGTGTATCCCCACTTTTGAGCTGAATCGGGTGTAGATGCTGCTTGGCTCAGTGTAAACAAGCCGATACCTAGAATCAGCAAGCGCATCATTTTTCTTGTCGTTAGTGAGGTGAATTCTTAACTGAAGTCAAAAAGAGCTTTAATAGTTCGGTGGAGACCTCTACTGAATCATCTCATGAAGCTCCGAAACGATCACAATTTGAATGGGATTTACATCGGTTTTCCCTTCAACTTGAAACATGCAATCCCAATTAATACCTAGTGTGCACCACACTATGTATTATTTCGAGATCATGTGCGCCACATCACATATTACTTTTGAGTTGCAAAAATGAGCGGAGCCCCTGGCATGATGGCAGGCGGTCCTCGTGGCGGTGTGAACGTCGGGGGCGGTAGCTCCACTGGCCGAGCAATCTTCGCACTCTGTGGCGGTCTAGCTGGAGCATACTATGGCTTCTACCTACAGAGCAAATACATGGAAGAGCGTCGAGTACGTAAAATACGAAATTTTCAACCAAACCTACAGATCTCACCATATATGTTACAGGTCGCCGCGCTGGTGGAAACCGAGGCACGCAAGCGTCTTGAAGCAGAGATGGCCGCCCAGAAGTAAACAATGTTGAAAAAATACATCCATTTCTGTGATAAATACTGGTATTGTACCTATAAATTTATTGTTCTGAACTGGCAGTAGTTGGTAGTGACACTTCTCGTACAGCAGAAACAAGCAGCAACATTTGTTTCTGCTGCTGCACTAAGATCTCAACCAGTTTGCGTTCCATGGCCCTCATCTCGTGCTCTTTCTCTTCTCGTCTGGCTCGTAATGACGACAACGTTTGGTCCACATTTCGAATTTCCACCTTCTTTTTCTCAATTCGTTCCAGAAGAGCTTCAAACTCTTCGTTCAGTCGGCGTTTCTTGGCTACCACCGCCATATTCAGCGTTGCATTGTTACCGGACTGCAGCATAAGGTCTCGGAGTGAAGCTTCGATGGTCTGCGCTTCGGTTTGGAGAGATTCCACATCCCGCTCTAATGTGATTTTCATCTCTTCCACTTCTTCCAATTGTTTCATGACAATCGAAATTTCGTTGGATAACACAGCACTGGAGCTCCGGTGAGCGACCAATTCGTCACGTTTATAATTCGTCAATGTTTGAGTCATCTCACCGTGTTGAACTTGCACTTGTGCCCAAGCTTCACGGATTTTGCTCATGAGCTCTTCCCAGCGCGATTTTTCATCAGAAATTTCGGATTTCATCCGATTAACTTGGATTTCCATCTCGTTTCGTGACATTTGTCTTGCCTGAACTTCTTCGTTGATTTTTCTCATGGCAGACATAACGAGGTGAATGACATGGAATGCAGCCTGTTTCTGCTGTTTCTTGAAGCTTTCTTGAGCGTCAAATTGAGCGTCTTCAGCTTCTTCAAGTGCAGAACGAAGCGACCCAAGTTCAGTCTCAAGGTGCTCTTTTTGCTTCTTCAACTCGGTCATCGCACGCTCTACTTGCTCAATTAATTTCTCTGAGTCTTCTTGCACTTGAGCGATGGCGTCTTCTTGTTCACGCAGTAGTCTGGTTTCCTGATCTCTCAATTGTTCCTCTAGCTGTTGCGAATATTGCGATTGGAGCTGATCTGACAATTTTTCCTTTTCACGATGGTGATTTTCATGAAGTGATTCAAGTTGCTCTTCATGAGAATTTACTGTGTTCGCAACAAGAGCCTCCAGTTTTTCACTCCAACCTTGATCCAACTGCACACGCTGTTCTTCGTGGGCTTCACGTAGTTCTTGAATCACAGCCTCTTTTTCCTCGACAAATTTTGCAGTTAAGCGTGATTTTTCTTCGTCAAATTTCCGTTCAAACTCCAATTTTTGCTGTTCAAGTTGCTCCGTCCACTTAGCAGTCAGTTCTTGTTCCATCACTTCAACATTAGCATCGAAATGCTCCTGAGCGCGCTCTCGTTCACGTGTTGTGATCTCCTCCGAAATATTCTGAAGCGCTTGTGAATGTTGCTGTTCTAACTGAATTTTCAACTCAGCAAGTTGAGCTTGAAATTTCATCTCATGCCGCTCTTCCGCCGCTCGAATCGCTGCCACTGCCTCTTGCTGAACTTTATCAAGTTCTTCACGCTGTCGCTCCTTGATTTGCACTGCTGCTTGTTGCCATTCTTTCTCTCGATCTTGAAGACCTTCATTGTACGCCATCTTTCTTTCCATTTCCTGCCGTTCCTGGAGCTCCTCCATCGCTCGTTGCCACTTGGATGTACACTTAACAACAGCGGTACCTTTACGCTCGTTCATATCCTTCTGCATCGATATCAGTCGTTGATTTGCCTTGAGATCAGCTTGCACCACTGCGTCTTGAAGAGCTTTTTCCTGTTCTTCACGACGTGTATCCATTTCGCTCTGCCAACGCTGAGTCACCTCGCTAATCTCCTTCTCCATGTCATTACGATGCTTAATTATCATCATAGAGATCGTGGCCGCATGAAATTCCGCATATCGCTGACTAATTTCTTCAGAATTCATCATAAGTTGAGCAGTAAATTCTTTGGAACGCTCAGTTAGATCCGCTTCGTGGTTTGACTGTATAATTTCCAGCTCATGTAGATAATCCAGCTCAAGATTACTCCTTTCCGAGCTCAAGTTATCGTCAAACTGTTCGCGTTGTGCTTGAATTGTTGCATGAAGAACTTCTTGTTCTGCTTTCCAATTTTCTTGTTTACTCTCCCAATCCACTTTCAATGCACCAAGTTCGTCTTCAAAAGTACTCGCCATCACTTTACACTTTTGTGTCATCTCTGCTAACTCCTCAGATAATTGCGTATTCCTCTGTTGGAGCTTGTCATTCTCGGTTTGAAGCTCTTGAATGGTGTTTTGTGCGTCTGATTCAATCGATTTTGAGAGGGTTTCGAACTTCTCCTTCATCTGCTGCATTTGGGCTGTATGGACTGCTGTTAGATCTTCTTGCAGTTGAGACTTCTCTTGTATGTAGAACTCATTCAGCTCCTCTCGATCTTTATCGTGCTCCTCTTTTATCCTTCGAATGGCTTCAAGACGTTCATCATGAAGTGTCTGCGTCATTTCGTCACATTTTGCCATGTAATCATCGCGCAATCGCTCCTCCAGTCTCCCCAGCTCTTCAGCTCTTCTTCGCTCTTGATTCGCTTGTAAACGCTCTACACTGGCGTGTAACTTCACCTGAGAAAAAGCTCGAAATTGAACTCGTAGCTTCCATATCGCAAATTTCTCACTAATCACTAATGCAAAATTTGTCGAAATGTTCTCCTTCTTAGCGCGAATTTTCTCCTTCTCCAGTTTCTCTTCCAGCACCAACATCTCGCCTTGGACCGTCGCCAGCTTACCCATGTACAGCGCATTCTCCTCTTCTAGACGCCTGATCAACATATTCTTTTCTTCCTCCATAACTTTCAGCGAATTTTTCACTGCAGCCAAAGATTTCGACATTCTCTCACTCGCACTTTTAGCGTAATGTTGCTCTTTCACATTGTCTTCCTTTGCTGCCAGCAATTGCGCCCTCATTTCACTCACTTCAATCCTAGACTTGTCAATCTCATCACGTTCAAGTAGCGACTGCTCTCGGGCCTCTGCGAACTTGGTTTGAACCTCTTTTAACTGTCGAGTTAGTAACTTTTTCCCTTCCTCGAGACACTCGATAGATCCTCGATATTCCTGCTCTTGGGCGCGTTTTTCAGTCAGTAACGCACTGATTTTCTGCTCGCTAGCTCTTAAAGCGTCTTCCATCGTATCTTTAAGTTCCTGCATCTCATACTGCAGATCTGTGACTTGTTTTTGACTTTTCTCCTTCATTTCTTGCTGATCTTCCAGTTGACTCTTTAAATACTGCCGTTCATTGTCAAGACGACGTAACAAAGCCTCCATTTGCACCCGCTTGGTCTCTTCACTGGCGTTTGTTACACTCATTGTTCCAACTTTTGCAGCGTCTTGTTTACGTTCTTCTTGAAGCGTTTCTACTTGACTCTCAGCGTCGACGAGTTGCCGAGTCAATCGAACGTTCTCTTCGACCATTTTCTCCATCGCAAGCTTGGCGTTGGCTTCTCTACTTTTCCACATGGTCAGCTCTTGAACCAGATCTGTAACATTCGCCTGCAACGTCACTACTTTGCCCTGTAAAGCTGCTTGTTGCGTGTTCAAAAGCTCTTTTTCTTGAGAAAAAGCAGTCTCAATTCGCTCCGTCTGTTTCTTGAAAACTTCTTCTTGTTCCGCTAAAGCTTGACGCTTATCGACCTTCATTTGTTCCATAGCGTTAGTGATCTGAGCGAGATGTGCACCCAGTTCTTCTTTGCACTTCATCTCGGACGAAAGTTGAGCTTTTAAGTACTCGATCTTGTTGTTCAGATGCTTCTCCAACGCCTCCACGTCTTGTTTTGCGATAGAAGACGATGCTACCAATGTTACAGGTCCTGATGCTTGTCCTTGATTACGTTGTTGGAGCTTCAAAGCGGCTATTTGACGCTCTAAACGTTGGTTCTTCTCTTCCAAAACGAGAACTTTATTCTTCATTAAATCATCAAGAGAAGCTTTGGCGTTTTTTGCCTGCGTTGTGGCCACTTGCGCTTGACTTTGGAGACTCAACATTTGCATCTGGTAACTTTCAACTTGTTCTTTGGCCGAATGCTCACTTAGTCGTAAAGTTTCGATGTCAAGTTGATATTTTTCGTGAAGTTTCTTGAGCTCTAGTTGTTGGGATTGCACGAGTTGTTTTTTCACGTGTTCCTTGTCTCTATTTGATTGGTCCAGTTGGAGATTCAACGAGTCGATTGTCTCGATTAAACGCGTGATTTCATCGCCTGCGCTGCTGTCACTGGTATGTTTTACTTGACTTTGCTTCGAGTGGAAATTGTACTCTAACTCCAGTAATTGTTTTCGAGTTTGATCGTCTTTTTCACGTAACATTGTCGTACACTGCGCTCGAGTTTGCAGAATTTCCTGCTCCAATTTTTGTTTTCTTGCTTCAACACCCGCTAATTTTTGCTTGGTTTGTGATAATTCCGCCTCCAAGACAGTCACTCTTTCGGCTAACGGTCCGTCGTTGAGAAGATCCGTCGATTGTTGATTACTCGTTGAAACCCCGATTGTATTGGTTTTTTTCTTGAGTTTTGAGGTTGATTGAAGAGCAGGAAGAACGGAGAGTTCTCTTGAGCTTGAACTGCTCGAAGGTCGATCTGTATCTAGTTCAGGTCCATTCGAGACTCTCTTCTTGTTATCCTCTTCGATAGCTGCTGACTGCTTCGCAAGCTCCTCATAGAACATTTTCTCGTAAGGATCGTGTGATTCCTCACCATTGGACTCGGTCTGATCGTGGTTAGAAACAATGTTGACAGATTTTTGTTGAGGGACTTGGAAGCCTGTGTCGCGGATTTTGTTGAGTTCAGAATAGATTCGATGACAATTGGAACATACAGGCACTTGCTTGTAGAACTGGGTCGGGTTCGAACGTCCAAGTTCCATACGAAACACGTTGTCAGCTTCTTGCCATTGCAAAGCCAACGCGTTATCGTCCAGTTGAGAAGAGAAATTAGAAGTTTCTTTGAGAAAATCAAGTTCAGCGTGCGCAAGAAGGAGATTGTTATTGCCCATCTTGAATCTCTGCCCATTATCTTCCAGAACCACTTGATCGATATCGTTGTCGACGTTATTGTCATTATCCCGCAGCATGTTAACCAATCGAGCGAGACCAGGTAGTGACACTATAGAATTCAGACAAAATTCACCGCGGCATTTTGCAGAAATTTCGGGTTTAACCATGACATTTGATTGGAGATTTGGCAATGACGATTTCTTCTGTAACAATTGTCCGGTCATTTTTTCGGGATTCTGCTGGAGCTCGACTTGCGAAATGTGCGTTAACCACACGGTCTGGTTACTGTGACACACGAATTCAAGCGTAGTGCCAAGAATTTGAGCGTCTGCGGTTTTCGATAAATAACTTACCACTTCGGCTGTTATTTTCTCCACGTCTTTGCTAATACTGCTCGATAGCTGAAGTGGTGCAGGTTTGGTCGAATCGTTGATATACCCCGCTCTTCGCTCAATTATGACGTTTGGCACAGCAGATCCATCTCGTGAAATTTCAAATTCCACTTGAATATGACTCTCGTCACCAATGGAGGGAATATATGCTTGTAGACCCTCAACTTTCTTGATAAATGACGAAACACCTCGTTTGCCATCCAGAGCGTGCAAAATCTCCTCAAACTCGTCGATTCCCACAACTTTTCGTGTACCATCCATGAAATTCACGACAGCGATGGAATCCACATGTTTTTCACTTGAACGACCTGATAATTGCAAAAATCTCTCGCAAATCTTGGCTACAGGCAACGAGCCATCCTTGGACATTCGTTTGCGGGAGATTGTGCCACTTTTCCCCGTGAATAACCACAAGTACGAGTCGATGTGACCAGTTTCAGCGTTGTGGTACAGAATAATCGTGTCTGCCATCCGAACTCCACATTTGTTGCCTTCGCTCCAAAGAGAGGCATGCGCCCACTCCCACCCGTGGACAACAGACTCAAATGATGTTGCAGACGCTCGTAACACCTGCTTCCGTCGCTTTGTCATTCTCTACGTGTCAATAGCCGCTTTCATCCACTTTTGGCGGTGGTTTCTCGTTTTATTTTACAGGAGCTCGTTTTATTTTACAGGGGTTCGTTTTCTTTTCGCTTCTTTTCAAAAAGCGCTTTCATTTTTTGCTTTTTTTAAAAGGCTCAGAGTGATGGTCGTTTTATTTTCGCTTTTTTAAAAACGTGCTTCTTTTGCTTTTTTGATTTGGCATCAGTGACCATCACTCTGCTAGTTCGCCAAATTTAGATGCTGCAGTTCCATTGATAACTTTAGCAGATCTCACCTCAGTTGCCAAGTTGACAAGTCTATCGATAGACAAACACTCCACCCATTGCATGTATCAAGGCCACGCGTGGGTAGAAGCATCGACGAGAAATGAGTGACGCCGCTATCGCAGTACCTTCGGACGACGAGAGACAACTTGACGCTTTTCGCGACAGTCTTCGAGATGGAAAAGTGAGTGCTAAGTTGCATGGTGCACATGGAGAACCGGCAAATGGAGGTTTGAAACTGCTGGAAGACAAAGTGACGCTGGTGTGGCAACCCAAAGCTCTGCCATTGCAGAGTTATCTGCCACCTTCCGTTCTGCACAAAATGGTGCAACACGACGTCAGTGTCGTGATTACCGAAGCAAAAAGCGTGAGAACGGGACGTCAAACGACCAACTTTGTACGGACGACCAAGTATTTAACTACAGATGAACTCCCTGCAAGCGATGACAGAAGCTTATCGCTCTGTTTTGCTCCGTCTTCAACACCAGATACAACGTCAGATTCACCAACCGAACCCCCAATAAGGACAACAATACCCCTGGAAACCTTCGATTTAGAGTTCGAAGACGAGCATATCCGAGATATTGCACGTGCCTTCTTCCGACAACAAGCAGGCTTAGAGAAAAGCGAAGATACCGAAAGTTACTCGGACATTGAGCTGCCTAGTGGGTTACCAACTCGCTGCTACCAAGTCGTAGTTCACCCATCTTTCCAACTCGCAGTACTGATCGCAGTAGTCGGGAGTATGACGTCTGTCGGGTGGCGTTCGTTCCGCTATGTGGCGAAACTTGACGACGAGGAAGACGTGGAAGAAGTGGCGAGGTTCGGTATGACTGTGCTAGAGTATTTGCTACTGGTATTTCTGACTATGGAGCAGATCTGCAAAGCCATCGGATTGGAAGGGATTACACCCTTATTAAGGAGTAAATGGGACGCGTTTGATCTTTGCGCCGTGATGATCAGCTGGTTAGCAGTGCTGCCATTCTCGTCGTTAGCCGGATTTAATCTGCTATCACTCCGAGTTTTCCGTGGAGTCCGGATTTTTAAACGCTGGAAGAGTTTCCAAGAAACGATGGAGACTTTTTTGGTGTCGTTACCCATGGCTGGCAATGCAGTGCTTTGCTATTGCTACTATCTCTTCCTGTTCGCGATCTTGGGAATGTATCTATTCAACAATTCCCTCTCTCATCGCTGTGCTATTCAAGCGGATTCCGACAGTTTTATCGCACCTATGGGTGTGGGTGAAACCAAGACTTATGTTGCTGAAACTCCGGTTCATTTCTGCCGAATGGATGATACTTCTTCCGGATGTAAATCCAACATGGAATGTGTAGCCATGTCGCCACCGGATCGAGGATATACAGGTTTCCACTCGTTCCAAGCATCGTTTCTAACGGTGTTTTTGATAACGTTACGATCTGGATTTGGTCCTTCATTGGATGGAGCCCAACAAGCGTCGTCCTATTTCTCGATCATTTACTTTATCGCGTTGGTAGTGTTTGTCAGCTATATGATATTGTCACTATTCGTCGGGATTGTACGTGGCAGCTACATTTCCGTATCTATTGTACGCGCGGCAAAACTGGCTCAACAAGAAAAAAGAATGGAAAAATATCTAAAAAAGCGTCGTGTCCAATTTCCGATAGGAACGGAAAAATTCCCAGATGTCATGCAAGTGGTGGATGCCAAGTGGCAAATCTATCGAGCGCGGTTTAAAGACTGGTTGTTGCAGTCTCCACTATTTACTAGATCGGATGGTACTTTTTTGAGCTGGTGTAGATTACGCCAAGAACGGATTTTTTTCATCCTGGAATCTGGAAGCCCCACCATGGATAAAATCTCGTCAATCGCGGAATCTTCGGCGTTCGAACATTTCATGAATCTAGTGGTTTTCTCCAACTCGGTGTTATTCGCGCTTGAATACCATGGAATGAATGATACCTATGCTGCTCGTCTGTACATGATCGAGAATTTCCTCATGATAGTTTACGCCACCGAATTTATCATCATCGGGGCAGCCGCTGGTGGACTTGTTGGATATTTGCAGAATCCATGGAACCGTCTGGATTTTGTGCTATTGGTCATTGCTTGCGTCGAATTTCTGCTGTTATCTTGCTCGGTTCTGTTGTATAGTGACAGCTACGCTCGAGGAATATTCGTCCTACGTTTATTCCGTTTAGTGAGGCCCTTCCGAGTGGTACGGCAGAACAACAAGTTGTTGCTAGTACTGGATGCTATACTGGCAAGCGTGCCAGCATTTTTAAGCTCCATCGCGTTCCACCTGCTTCTTAACAGTGTGTTTGCTGTAGTGGGCATGAATTTATTCGGTGGCAACTTTCCGCTGACGATGCAGTCGCATTTTAACACTTTTAGCGACAGTATGCTGACACTTTTCAAGTTCTCGAATGGCGGTAGTATCTGGCCGATTTTCCACGCTTCGCTTCAAGCTAGTTCGTTTGGAGTTGCTCTGCTGTACTACATGGCATATGTGGTTCTGTGTCGATATATTGCACTCAACTTCATGCTGGTAGTGCTACTCAGAAACTTTGCCATGAAAGGTGATGAAAGACGGAAGACGTTGAGTGGATTATTCCAAGATCGGATGTTTGCCATGCAACGGATTCATCTCTTCGACATGTACACTTTCGTCCAGGAATTCGGTAACCTTTATCAAAGTGACGTTATGAATGTAAGCTTACCTGGAAGTGCCAAAAAGCGAGCACAACGTGCTTTATCTGCGTCTGAGGCACTCAAAGCCAGATTATTCAACGTTCTACCAACTTCGGATTTTCTGAAAATTAAAGGATACTACGGTACAACAAAAACTCACCATGAACGCAAATATATCCAGTTAGAAGCTCCACCAAACGGAAAATCCAAGAACCACGCAGCTGTCGCTCCAATCGAAGAATCTTCTCATTCAGCCTCCATCGTTCCAACTCCTGGACCAGAAAATCCAACAGATTCTCCTGCTCCAGACGAATGGACAGGCTGGACTTCCTCAGGAGGTATAACCGGTTATGTGAGGCAGTTCTTCGACGGACATTGGCTTATGGCAGACGTCTCATTGTTTCTTTTCCCACCGCAGTCGTGGGTGCGCTTGAAAGCTCGTCGACTGGAAAAGGAGACGGAAAAATACATTTTCGCAGCCATCGTGATTCGTACTATTATGCTAACGGTACAGTCCCCTCTGTACTCAAATTTGATCCAGGAACTCACCACACTGAGTGACGTCGTGTACGCCTGCGTGCTATTCTTCGAGTTCACGTTGAAAGTAATATCCCGTGGATTTATCTTCACTCCGAAAAGTTATCTTTCGAATACTTGGAATCAGATTAATATGGTGGTGTTGATGGCTTGTTCGCTTTTACTGTTGCTACCTCACTCGACAATGATCTCACTATTCCGCCTTGGACGAGCGTTTGGTCCCATACGTGTATTTTACAGAGTGAGGACATTTCGAGTCATCACGGAAGCGCTGAAACAATCCGCAACACCGATTTTTTACTGTGTCGTGCTTTCGATTTTTCTGTTTTACTCTTTCGCAACACTCGGAATGCAGATTTTTGGTGGGAGGTTCGCTTACTGCAGTGATCCATCGATTGACACGGCTGAAAAGTGTGTGGGAGTGTTTTGGAATAGCGCCACGGGAATCTTGACTCCTCGAGTTTGGGGGAATCTTTCTGGGCTGCATTTTGACAATATCACGGGTGCCATGTCTTCGATTCTCTTCTTGGTATCCATGAAAGGCTGGCTACCTGTTGTCAACATTGCTATGGATTTTGTAGATGACACGGATGTTAACAACGACCACCAAGCGTCTGCTATTGCGTCGACGTATTTCGCTGGATTTTTCGTCGCGTTCCTGTTTTTCACTAGATTTTATCTCCTGAAAGTATTTGCAGGTATTCTCATGAACAATTTCCGATGTTACAACGGCACACTATTGCTCACAAACCTCCAACTCATCTGGCTACGTAAGAAAACATCGATCATTGCAATGCGTCCGAAATATCCGCTACCAACGAGTAAATTCATGCAACTCGCTCAATTCTACATGCAAAAGCGTTCATTCCGTGGATTTATCAGCACAGTGGTGATTTTACACACTTCTCTGCTCGCATGGTACCGATCTCCAGTTCATCGTGGCACGACTGAAGACGCAGATGTCGATACAGGAGTTTGGTGGTTCCACTATATTTTTTCTCTAATTTACGCATTCGACGCTGTACTTCGAGTTGCAGCCGTTGGGTGGAGAGATTTTCTTATGAAAGGCTTCACTTGGAGAACATTTAACAGCTGCACCGCGTTTATTATGCTCGTGGGACCTCTCATCTCGAATTCCCCGGTATTACTCATACTAGGGATGACTCGAGCTTTCGACTTTAAACATCTGTCTTTAGTATTGGAACGGTCTCGCGCTCTTCGAACATTATTCAGAACTCTATTGGCGAGTGTTCAGCTTACACTGAAGGTGACGCTTTTATTGGGCTATGTATTGTTCGTATTCGCGATTGTTGGAGTACAAGTATTTTCACTTACGCGGTGGGCTCCAGGTTTAAACGCTAACCTGAATCTGACAACTTTTCCAAGTGCGTATGCTGCTTTTGTCAAATTTGCAGCAGGTGAAGATTGGTACGCAACGTACTTGGCATCCAGCGTCGCACCGCCTCAATGTGTGCTGTGGGGACGATCATCGAGCGATTGCGGCTCTTCTGTCATCAGTGCGCTATTTTACAATATTTTCTACATTTTGGTCGTATTGATTCTACAAAATCTGTACGCTTCTACTATGGTGGATACGTACGTTCTCATGTCGGCAAGAGCAGATGATAACGAACACCTATTGGGATTCCAAGCTGAACATCTTCAACGTTTCCAGACAATTTGGAGCGAATTTGACACTGACGCACTGGGATTGTTACATAGGAAACACTTGATGTCATTATTGACAAAACTTGAACCTCCTCTAGGACTGGGTACGTTCAAGGCCACGCTCAATAGTTTGGCGACTGAAGATATGAAACCGGACGAGTGGACAGCTTTATCCTATGCGGTTCATCGACGTCGACGCGAAACTTTCCACGATATTGAAGCTCGCATTGCAGAACTTACGTATCGAGTCCGCCTTGGACTCGGTAACTGTGATGGACTCAATGGCAATGTCAACACCAGTACAAACCCGGATCTCAGGTGTCCTCCCAACATGTTCCGTTTTACAGATCTGCTACTGGTTCTGACGATGCGAGTTTTACCGCTGGAAAGTTTGACAGTTCAGGAAAAAGTTGATGAGTTGGCGATGAGAGGATACGCTTTTCGTCATCGCAAGGCGATTATTATCCAATCATCTTTCAGGATGTTTCGAGTACGACGTCGTATGAAGAGCAAGATACGAATGGCGAAGCGTGCAAGCGAAGCAGACAAACTCAAACGGATACAACCAAAGATTAAGGAGAAATTTACGGAAAATCCAACAGAAAATACTACAAATGAAGTACCAAAACAGGATCGTGTAGAAGCGGTTGCAATCGAGCAAACAAGTCCACAAGCCAAGACGAGCTTATCACTTCGAATCTCGCTACCGATACTATCATTACCAACTCTTTCACTGCGAGGTACCACTCCGGAGCGAATACGAGCGCCAGCTACAGTTGCCCCAATCCTGTCTGAGCATTTGGAGCTGCAGCCTGAAGCGAGCGACGGCAGAAAATGTTCTATCTAGACAGCTTAAGTAAAAAAAAAAATCCAGATAATGACAAAACCAGTGCACTTTGAAACGTTTTTTTATTTATATTTGATAACAATTATACGTATTTCCATGCGACATCCACGATTGCGTACAAAAATGCAGCCGCAATCCTGAAAACTTGTTTAGCGAGAGTCATCACCTTATCCAGTTGTATAATCAAACAAACAATACAATGTGCCTGAGGATTCTTGGGTCATTCTTCTTTTCACCTTGTTCACATCAAGTACCCACATTCTCCGCTCACCAACCATGTTCAAGCCTCGTCAAATCGCCCAGAAATTCGTAGCTCTCGAGCAAAGCGAAGGCGTCGGTGCTCGTGTCTACCGATCCATCGGTTCGGTTCAGTTGCGCAACCTCGACTCGTTTCTTGTGCTTGATGAAGCGAACGCTGGGCTACCTGGTAGCGCTCCTGATCACCCGCACCGCGGATTTGAGACGGTATCATACTTACTCCCCACGTCCAACGGCCATTTCCAACATGAAGACTTTTGGGTAACGAAGGCGAACTGCGACCTGGTGATCTGCAGTGGATGACTGCTGGACGGGGGATTATGCACTCGGAAATGCCGAAAACCCGTGAACCTGCTCACGGTCTCCAATTATGGGTTAACCTGCCAAAGCATCGCAAAATGATTGAGCCTCGGTACCAGGACGTCCCCCGTGAATCGGTGCCACATGCTTTCAATGATGACAAGAGTGTCGAAGCTCTTGTCTTTGCCGGCGAAGTGTTCGGCCAGCGGGGCCCCATTGAAACGGAAGCTCCTGTCACGTACGTACACTTTATGTTGGATGCAGGAGCCCAGCTCGAGTATCCCGTTCCTTCGACGCACAACGCGCTCGTGTACGCGATTAGTGGTACGGGGAAGTGTATTGGAGCCTCGATTCAGCCGCATGAGGCCATCGTGATGGAGAAGGACGGGGACGGCGTGTTACTGACGGCAGCGGAAAATGACAAGCTAGAGGTGATCGTGATGACAGGTGAACCTCTGAATGAACCGGTTGTGCAGCACGGCCCGTTCGTGATGAACTCGATGGAAGAAATCCGCCAGACTTTTGAAGATTTCCAACTGGCCAAGAATGGCTTTGAGAACGCGCGTACGTGGGAGTCGAAGAACCGCAATCGTCGTTAGATTTTGAGAGAGGGATGAAATCACATATCGAAAGACAAAACTAAAACCAAATGACAAGAAAAGTGTGTTTCAGAAAGTTACCTATTCATTTGTTTTCGTTAACCTAGTGCTAACGATTTTCTTTAGCATACAATATAGAGGAGTGTGATGACAAGCATCACCACCGCTGAAGCTCTTAACATGGCGATGTCGTTCTCACCATTTTCAGCTCTCCACTTAGTGATTCAACGACGGCGATTGCCGATCTCCGAGGCCCACGAGTGCGCGTTCTCGAAGCCGTTCTTGGCGAGCTGGAAATCCTCCCACGTCTGGCGGATCTCGTCGCCTGTGCTCATGACGAAGGGACCATACTGCACCACAGGCTCTTCCAGTGGCTGTCCCGTCATGACAATCACCTCGAGATTGTCGTTGTCGTCAGCCTGCAACAACACACCGTCGCCCTTCATCTCGAGCACGATGGCTTCGTGAGGCTCGATCGAGTGCTCCACGCACTTGCCTGTGCCCGACACGGCGTACACGAAGACGTGGTGGCTCTCTGGGATGGGGTACTCGAGTTTGGCTCCTTTCTGCAACATAAAGTGCACGTAGGTGACTGGAGCCACCGTCTCAATGGGGCCACGCTTGCCGAAGACTTCCCCGGCAAAGACGATGGCCTCGATGCTCTTGTCGTCGTTGAAGGCGTGAGGGACTGTGTCTCGACTGATCTCCTGGTACTTAGGCTCGACCATGCGGCTCTTACTGGGTAGATTGATCCAGAGTTGCAGTCCGTGAGCCGGGACCTCGCTCTTGGGCATCTCGGCGTGCATGATCCCCTTGCCTGGGGTCATCCACTGTAGGTCTCCAGGACGCAACTCGCCCTTGTTGCCTAGAAAGTCTTCGTGGCACATGTGGCCCTTGGACGTGGGCAAAACGTACGTGACGGTCTCGAAGCCTCTGTGCGGGTGGTCCGGGAAGCCTCCGGGCAGACCCACGTTGAACTCGTCCAGCATGAGGAACGGGTCGAGGTTGCGTAGGCGTGTGGTGCCGATGGATCGGTGCACACGTGCACCGGCACCTTCACCTTGTTCGCGAGCGACGAACTTCTTGGCGATGAGGCGAGGAGTGAACATCTTTATAGCGGCGGATCGGAGAGAACTCGTGGTTGCTGAGTGGCTGCTTGAGCGCTGGAAGGTGAATTGAGGAATGACCAGCGGGAAGCGAAGAGATTTACCGAAAAAGATAGCGATATTTTGGCAAGTCGTGCAGGGTGTCTTGATTAATTCCAGACACTGAGTGCAGCTTACGAGAACATGGTTCACGTACTCGTCCACGTGGCTTTCTTCACCGACGCAATCGCTGAGAAACCCAAGCGGAGAACTGCCTGTCGTGCCGGTGGTGGATATTCCGCTTCATCGTCTCGCTAGTTGATTGCGCGTACCACCAAAATGCGTGACGTGGCAAAAAAAACTAGTTTTTGTTCCTTTACAAACCTCAAGTCATTTGAAAAAGACGCATCAATTAATACCGTAATCAGCCTTTTCTACCAACCAAAACGCATTCAAATTAATTTCTACCAACCCAAAGAAACTCGTCTCACCAGTCTCATCAACTGATGTTGTCGAACAACTTGAATCTCTTCGCTCCCCGCTGGTCATTCCTCAATTCACCTTCCAGCGCTCAAGCAGCCACTCAGCAACCACGAGTTCTCTCCGATCCGCCGCTATAAAGATGTTCACTCCTCGCCTCATCGCCAAGAAGTTCGTCGCTCGCGAACAAGGTGAAGGTGCCGGTGCGCGTGTGCACCGATCCATCGGCACCACACGCCTACGCAACCTCGACCCGTTCCTCATGCTGGACGAGTTCAACGTGGGTCTGCCCGGAGGCTTCCCGGACCACCCGCACAGAGGCTTCGAGACCGTCACGTACGTTTTGCCCACGTCCAAGGGCCACATGTGCCACGAAGACTTTCTAGGCAACAAGGGCGAGTTGCGTCCTGGAGACCTACAGTGGATGACCCCAGGCAAGGGGATCATGCACGCCGAGATGCCCAAGAGCGAGGTCCCGGCTCACGGACTGCAACTCTGGATCAATCTGCCCAGTAAGAGCCGCATGGTCGAGCCTAAGTACCAGGAGATCAGTCGAGACACAGTCCCTCACGCCTTCAACGACGACAAGAGCATCGAGGCCATCGTCTTTGCCGGGGAAGTCTTCGGCAAGCGTGGCCCCATTGAGACGGTGGCTCCAGTCACCTACGTGCACTTTATGTTGCAGAAAGGAGCCAAACTCGAGTACCCCATCCCAGATAGCCACCACGTCTTCGTGTACGCCGTGTCGGGCACAGGCAAGTGCGTGGAGCACTCGATCGAGCCTCACGAAGCCATCGTGCTCGAGATGAAGGGCGACGGTGTGTTGTTGCAGGCTGACGACAACGACAATCTCGAGGTGATTGTCATGACGGGACAGCCACTGGAAGAGCCTGTGGTGCAGTATGGTCCCTTCGTCATGAGCACAGGCGACGAGATCCGCCAGACGTGGGAGGATTTCCAGCTCGCCAAGAACGGCTTCGAGAACGCGCACTCGTGGGCCTCGGAGATCGGCAATCGCCGTCGTTGAATCACTAAGTGGAGAGCTGAAAGTGGTGAGAACGACATCGCCATGTTAAGAGCTTCAGCGGTGGTGATGCTTGTCATCACACTCCTCTATATTGTATGCTAAAGAAAATCGTTAGCACTAGGTTAACGAAAACAAATGAATAGGTAACTTTCTGAAACACACTTTTCTTGTCATTTGGTTTTAGTTTTGTCTTTCGATATGTGATTTCATCCCTCTCTCAAAATCTAACGACGATTGCGGTTCTTCGACTCCCACGTACGCGCGTTCTCAAAGCCATTCTTGGCCAGTTGGAAATCTTCAAAAGTCTGGCGGATTTCTTCCATCGAGTTCATCACGAACGGGCCGTGCTGCACAACCGGTTCATTCAGAGGTTCACCTGTCATCACGATCACCTCTAGCTTGTCATTTTCCGCTGCCGTCAGTAACACGCCGTCCCCGTCCTTCTCCATCACGATGGCCTCATGCGGCTGAATCGAGGCTCCAATACACTTCCCCGTACCACTAATCGCGTACACGAGCGCGTTGTGCGTCGAAGGAACGGGATACTCGAGCTGGGCTCCTGCATCCAACATAAAGTGTACGTACGTGACAGGAGCTTCCGTTTCAATGGGGCCCCACTGGCCGAACACTTCGCCGGCAAAGACAAGAGCTTCGACACTCTTGTCATCATTGAAAGCATGTGGCACCGATTCACGGGGGACGTCCTGGTACCGAGGCTCAATCATTTTGCGATGCTTTGGCAGGTTAACCCATAATTGGAGACCGTGAGCAGGTTCACGGGTTTTCGGCATTTCCGAGTGCATAATCCCCCGTCCAGCAGTCATCCACTGCAGATCACCAGGTTGTAGCGTGCCCTTGTTGCCCAGAAAGTCTTCATGTTGGAAATGGCCTTTGGACGTGGGGAGCATGTACGATACAGTCTCAAATCCACGATGCGGGTGGGCTGGGAAGCCGCCTGGAAGCCCGACGCTCGCTTCATCAAGTACGAGGAACGGGTCGAGGCTGCGCAACTGAGCCGAACCGATGGATCGATAGACACGAGCACCGGCACCTTCGCTTTGCTCGCGAGCTACGAATTTCTGGGCGATTTGACGAGGCTTGAACATGGTTGGTGAGCGGAGAATGTGGGTACTTGATGTGAACAAGGTGAAAAGAAGAATGACCCAAGGAAGCCCGGGCATTTTTGGTTTTTGGTTGATTAGCTTATCAGTGAACAAGATGACGAGCGTTCTGGGCAGATTTTCAGGATTGCGACTGCGCTATTGTACGCAATCCCAAATACAAGCAGATGGTACTACGAATGTTACGTCCATTTTGCACGATCTCTAAAGTTCAATGCTATGCATGAAAGTAAAAAGAAAAAAAACTTGTGCATCATGCATCCCATTTCGCCATCTTGAAAACGATAACTGAATTGTGCAAGTCAGGAAAACAATCAATATCTTTACGAAACCATATTCCACAAGTTTTTTTTTCTTCAATTTTTTATTTTTATCGTGAGCTAGATAGAATGGCCCAGCATGTTGCAATAAGCAAACTCAGTGAAGCAAGATTTAACGGTGACGGCGGCGCGGTGCAATGGATGACCTCCAACCGTGCGCGTCTTCGAATCCGTTTGTATGAAGATCGAAGTCTCTTAATGTGTTTTGAATATCCTCTTTGGAAGACATCACAAAAGGCCCATATTGATGCACCGGCTCGTTCAATGGTTCCCCAGTCATGACGACGACCTCAAGATTATCATCTTCTGCAGCCGTCAATAGCACGCCGTCTCCTTCCTTCTCCATCGCAATGGCTTCATGAGCTACAACTCTCGTTTCCGCACATTTACCAGTTCCAGACACTCCATACACAAACACATTGTGACTCTCTGGAATGGAATACTCCATCCTTGCTCCTGGTTTTAACAGAAAATGGACGTACGTCACCGGAGCTTCTGTCTCGACTGGTCCCTTGTAGCCGAAAACCTCTCCAGCGAACACAATTGCCTCGACGCTTTGGTCGGCATTAAATGCATGCGGCACCGACTCCCGACTGATTTCTTGGTATCGCGGCTTGATCATCTTCTTCTCTTTTGGCAGGTTAACCCAGAGCTGCAAACCATGAGCAGGTTCCGCACTGGAAGGCATTTCAGCGTGCATGATGCCTCTGCCTGGAGTCATCCACTGCAGATCTCCCGGTTGTAATTCCCCTTTATTCTCCATAAAATCCTCGTGACGCATACCGCCTTTCGACGTTGGCAGCACGTACGTGACGGTCTCGAAGCCGCGGTGCGGGTGATCCGGGAAACCTCCCGGTAGCCCCACGTTGAATTCGTCCAGACCGAGGAACGGATCAAAGTTGTACAGCACTGGAGACCCGATTGAGCGATGCACGTGAGCTCCAGCGCCGTCGGTTGTTTCGATGGCCTGGAAGTTATTGGCCACCTGACGAGTCTTGAACGTGGACATTGTGGCAGATGAAGGCAAATCGTAAAATGTGTGTTGAAGTGTTGACCACGTTTCGTGAATACGCCCACTTGAACACAATATTTTGTGTCATCGATGATACGTAATGCGATTGGATAAAACGCATTTTGTCCAATTATGTGCGAGTTAATTGAGGGGTTATTCCGTAATCAGAATTTGACAAATTCAACTTCATTTTCACAAATTCTCCCATCTGATGGGATGACAACAACAACAAAAAATTGAATAATTGCATTAACTACTTCCTGTGACGTGTGAGAACTGCAACACGGTTGCTAAGCCTTAGAGTCTGACATACAACCACTGGTCCACCCTCGATCGCCGTACAACATCTCCTTCTTCATAGTCGTCGCCATGCTCGCTAGCAACGGATAACACACTTCTGTTGCTGCTACATTCCGTATCCGTGAACGACAGTGCGCGATGCTTTTCGTCTAGATCGAAGCCATCCCCGGCGGCGTCAAAGCCCTCAGTCGCGTCTGCGGCTTTGCAGAGTCGACATTCGCTCGAAGAAACATCTGAAAGTGGATCCACGACGGTCTGGATGCTGACGGACAACATGCAGACGTCATATGGAGGGGTGAAGTAGTCACTCGTGTAGCCCATGGCGCTCTCGGACTCGTCGTCGGACTCGGAGACGACGGGCAACAGGGCGAAGCCGTCGTCTGGGTCGCTGTAGTCGCTGTAGTCGCTGTAGTCTGCATATTCATCGTCTTCGTCGTTGTCCTTTTCTTCAATGTATTCGCGTAAGTTTTCGATGCGTTTGTGGTCGTTACCGTCCAGAATTCGGTTAAGTAGCCAACAAGCCGTCGCTATCGCGCTCGCTGTGCCTGCAGCCACAATTGTCTTGGTAAGGGCTCGTGCAACTCGAGATTGCATTGTGAGGTCTGTGTTCTGGTGCGCCTTTTCCGCTGTGAACGGCGTGCCTGTCATCGCCACGAGGCCATGGAGACGGATGGTCCCAGATAAAATGTGGACTGCACCCTTCGCTGCTGCCAGACATTCCTCTCAATGATGCAAGACAGATAGCTCGATGACATCGAAGCATCCATTGTCCATTCTGGTAGAATGATACACGTCCGAACATATTTGATAGTCGAATCGCTTGTTCGAAAATTTATTCCACGAAAACTTAAATTACGGGATCTACGGATCGATATCTCTAGCTCCAGACGAGCTGTAGCGAGCTGCGTGGCTGTTCCTCCTGACTGTCCGACATGACGCTTGTCGGCTCCTTTTCGGCGCAATCTGACAGCGTCAGCGACTGCCGCAGCTCCATCGACTTGTGTTCTCGTACTTCTCCAAACTTGCGGTATTTTTTCTTGTCTTCGCAGTGAAAATACAGATTTACTCGATCGGACTGCCAACCCTGCAGGTTCAGTTTGTACGCTAATCGTTCACCGCCTTCGAGTAGACGCTGCTCTACATCCGCTTCGTTTAGCTCTAGAAACAGACACAGAGTGACCAACACTTTGCATACGTGAGCAGCGCCGTACGGAGCCTGGTAGCAGCGGAAGTGGCGGATCCGGTAGTTAGAGCGTAGTACAGCGACTATCGTACGCATCATAGCGTCGAGCGCCTGTGTCCTCTGCGCGAAAACGTGCTTGGACTGGTGGTTAAACAGTGTCCGTTTAGGGAACTCGATGCTGCCCAACACGGCGAACAGCGACCAGAATGGGCACGATCCCAATGCGCAGCAGCACGCTCGAACGTTCTTACAGTCGGTCAGATGCTGTAGCTTCCTGTATAGCGCGCGGCACGCGCTGTATGTGCGCGGAACTTCATGTATCACTGGTACATTATCCCTACCGAGCGTCGTAGCGTGATCTAAGTCCTGTCTTCGAGCGATTAGTGCTTCGTGGTGGCTGCGACTTCTTGGTCGAATGGCGAAGACGTACTCAGGCGACGGTGAGCACTCTCCCCGCGGCTTTACTCGTGCTATCTTCACGTCAACCTCTCGCAGCAGCGCAGTCTTCATGAGTCTTTTAAACCAAAGTGGTCGGCTAAAATGGGAAGTGTCCAAGTGGATCCCGTGGTGATCGAGTCTAGTAGTTCGCTGCGACTGTGAACGTGTGAGCAATGGCCACGGCTAATTCGCCGTTCCAATGCAGCTGACTGTCTATCACGACGAGGAATTACTTCGGCGCGGACGCTTGTGCTTGGCACAGCGCTCAAATGCCCCGAGCCCTCGGCCTAGACAAACCCCTCGTGTGTAACAGCAGCATGAGCATGTTGGTTATGGCTCTTCGAAGTGGCGACGGCGACGAGGGGGATTTCAACATGCAAGTTTGAATGGTCTCACCAGTTGATGGATAAAGCGTGAGACCACAAGCACCATCGGCGCTTGATTCATCGCGCGGTTGGTTGTGATTCACTAGAAAAGCAAGTCGACCTCCAATTACTTAAGAGTTTTTAGACATGCTGGGCATTGAAAACCGAAATCTACCGATGTAGTGGCAGCCGCAAGACACGCATGTGTGAGACTTGGATATCGAGGCTGAAATCTCGCAACTTACGTACGTGTGAGCCAGCTTGGGGCTCCTCCTATGTATAAGGTTTCTTGCCGTCTCTACCATTATTGCAGACGCTAACACTCTTCGTTACTAACAGCAAACTTCTAAAACAATACTTGCAATTACTCGTTGCAAACACGTGTGCACAATAGCTACCCTCGGACTTCAAGGGGGAACATCCAGCGACATTCAACTGGCGGGCTGTATCAGGTCTCATATCGGTCATAGAATCCTCAACGATTCTATGAAAATCATTATTTTTTAAAAGAGCTGTTCCTCTTCATGATCCCACGGACCGCGCCCGTAACACGTCATTAGCGGGGTCCAGGCCACACGCTCAGCAAACGTCCGTTCGGCCTCGTGGACATATCGCCAGCAAGGAGCCCGGCTGTGTGTAAATCACTTTCGAAGCTGTCGTTGCCGCTAGACGCATCTTCCGGGGGGGAGATTGGCTCCCGACTGTCTGTCAAGTGCATCTCAAGGGGTGTGCGGGATGTCATTTTAGAACTTCCCGTCGAGCGCACATAGCTGCTGCCTTCACTTCCTCTTCCGTCACTAGCATGACGATTTCCACGCGCATCCGTAGCGAGCTGTTCACAACGACCAAGCCGAGCGTTGACATTGAGCCTGCGAGTCCGCAGCTCATCCGGCTACCGCTCACTCGACCACCAGATGCGCCCAACAAGAGCAAGAACACCAACAAGAAAAGTAAAAAGCCAACGAAGTACAAGGTGAAGGTTGAACCGGGCGATCGACAAACGCCGCATCGCCACGGTTTGCCCTGGACGACCGACGAGCACGACCGGTTCTTACAGGGACTAGAGCGCTACCCGTGTGGTCCGTGGAAAGCCATCGCCGCCTTCGTGGGCACCCGTACGCCACGCCAGACCATGACGCATGCGCAAAAGTACCGCCAGAAGATCCAACGTCGCCGTCGCGGGCTCTTGACGTCTTCACGGCAACCGGTGCCCGTGACGTCGGAGCTGTACGGCGGACTCACGATCGCCGCTAACGTTACAGACTGCGATACAGTTGCAGGCACGCCGACGTCGGTGGACGTCGCTGTACTAAAATCGACCAACCAGATGGCTCCACTCGAGAGTAACTGGTTCGACAAGGTGGAGGTTTGTGAGCTAGACGCAGCGTTTCAAGCGTTCCTCGAGGTCTACGACCCCATTCAATTCCCCATTGACGACGGCATTAGTGCCGTCAGTGCGTTCAGTGTCGACGTTGACTGCAACGTCTCCATGGATGATGGCGCATCCATCGTGCTGTAAAGATTACTACAATTTGCTTGTCAATAGCAATACCGTAACTGTAACTATAAGTAAAATCATTGGTTGAAATTAGATCCAAACAGCATTCCATTGGTTGAAAAAATCGAAAATGATTTCATCTATCGAACCTGTCTTCCATTTGACAATCCGCACCATGATCTCGTCTCCGTCGACGGTACGTCGGCTACTGAAGGCGCGCCGCGCTGAAGTGGCGGCTGTATCGATCACCGCTAAGCCCACGGCCATCTTTGATAGTCAGGACGTGACTGCGCCGTACACGCAATACGTTTTTAAGCTCCGGAGCGCCTCCACTAGCTCCAGAGAGGGATGGAAGCTCCGCAAGCGATACTCGGATTTCCGTACGCTTTATCGCAAGTTGCGATGTACGAGGACCCAGTGGGAAGCGAGCTGTGTCCAACAAGGAGAAGCGTTTGCGTCGGTGGTCAAAATTCTGCGGCAAGCAGCGGGGCCAGAGTTTCCTAGGAAACATATCCGATGCGACACCATCGCTATTATTCAAGAGCGACGAGGCAAACTCAAGGACTATATGCGGACGCTTCTAGAGGCCTATACAGAGCTGGAGGTTTTGCTGGGAGCACCAGGCACCTTGAAAGGCGATTTCCTTGAGGAAATCGTGTGTGTGAACACGGTTTTCGTCGAGATTGAGCGGTTCTTGGCAATCCCACCGAAGCGCAAGGAAATTGAGGCCAAGTTAACGCGAGCGGTGACGACTCTGGAAGATGTAAAGCTGGACCAACATAGTGAAATCCAGACGACGCAATGCTGCATTTGTCTGGGTGACAACAACTTACGGGAGTCAGGTAATGGGGCTGAGAAGGACATGGCCCAGTTGCCGTGTGCACACATTTTCCATGAGGATTGCATCATTCACTGGCTTCAGTGTGGTTCGACGTGTCCAATGTGTCGCTCTACTGTTGGAAACCCAGCAAAGCGACGAGTAGCGGTGGCTCTCGGGTAGTTGTGTTCACAGATTTGTGTTGATTGATATAGTTGCGTTGAAATAGCGTCAATCAAATTGTTGAAAGTTTGAACCGGAAAAAATGTTGACCTGGAATTTATCGCGAGTTTTGGCGGTAGTAGCATATGCGGCGTGTGACAAGCAACACAAAATAACCGAGTTATCCAAAGCGTACGCTCTCTCATGGACAAACTATAGAATATCACTTGGACATACCCGTTCGTCATGAGCGGTGGTGAGTGATGGTTCGCTTAGACACCGTGATAAGCACCAAGCTTACGTGAAAAGCTTGGTACTAAACTTTTTACGGCCTAAGCGAAGATCCTATAGGGTGTCAATGCTGGATTCCGTCTGAAAATAAGACAGACAAGTCCCTTTTGTGTGGATTTGGCGAAATGAAGCCATCGGTCAGCGATTCGATGTCTCTTTGGTATTTTCACAGTATCCATTGTAATTTTACTCTTGTCGAGTGATCTTGTGGCCACCATTGACACTGAACGAGCAATGTTGCCGGCAACTGAGCGATCCACAAAGGCCAAAGTAGTTTGAGGAAGTAAAATACAGAGTGCTAGTGGGTAAACGGACATTTTAGCTCTATGAAACTCGACTACAACCAGCAATGCCATGATAAATGCGCATCAAGTTATTTAGTGCCTTAATCGCTGTGAGCTTTCGTCATTACGTAAGTATAAAGCAAGTAGGCTGCCAATACTTCTTTGTATTTCTATAAATGTATATAAGATGCTAAAGGTTTTAAGTGGTGATGTCCTAAAGAATCTGGATCTTTTTCGATGAAAATCCAACTTCGACTATCAAAATGGACGACGATAATCCATGCATATCGGAGACTGCACGAGCTCCCCTGATGACTTGGTCATTCACGCGTTGAGCTTTGCAACTAGACAAGAGGATCTTGAGTTGCAAACAAGATCGCGCTGGGACGATGTCGTGGCGTCGACCACTTTTGAACTTATCGAGAGGTGAGCAACGGCAACAGCACAGACACATTGCAGGTCCAGGGTCAGAGACTTCAGCCTTACAGTTCATCGGACACAGGAAACAGGTATCCAATCGATGACCATCACACACAGCGTTCAGCAGGAGTTCTTGGACGACGAGACAAAGGACCTCATCTGCATTCCATTCATCCCCAACTCGTCGAGCCCCGCAAGTATTGCGGTGCATTCGCGGCCGCTAACTCAGCAGGTTGTTCCAACTCCAGCGTTGTTGATGCAAATGCCAGCACGTACAGCCGAATCAACGAAAGGAGAACGGTGGACGGAAGACGAACACGAGCGATTCCTACTCGGTATGGAGTTGTTCAAAGCGGGGCCCTGGAAAAAGATCGCCAATGTTGTCGGTACCCGCGACGCTCGACAGACCATGAGTCATGCACAAAAGTATCGTCAGAAGATCAAGCGACGTAAATTGGGTTTGCCGACAACAGAACCACGACGTCGTGTTGATGATTCTCGTGCTACATCCACCACCAAAAGGTTGCGAACAATGAGCCCAGTCGAGGCCACTGCAACAGCAACAGGTGCAGAGAATCGAGTGGTGGGGAGTTCAAGATCGTATGATGTATCACCGAGAGTCCAGTTGCCACGGGAAGCAATGAATGACACACCACGCCTGATGAATGGGCTTGAGCGCGCGATTGGTCTTGTTTCTACTGAGACCATCAATATGGCCAGCAACGCTTATAGTCTAATGGCCGAAGTGGACACTGGCCGTGTTGGTCGACCGAGCCAGCAACTCGATGCGACACTAGAGCCGCTTGATATCGGTTCCGAAGTCTCGGTGGCTCGCGACAGTTGGGTCGGGCCGGAAGAGTTGTGGGACTTTCTCGATGGCCGTCCGATCGCCCAGCCTGATGTGGCCGGCGCACACGTGCAAGAAGCAGGAAACCAGTTATCAGTTTAAGAGTCGTGGCGACGAGCGACGGTAGCTCGGAACGCAGAAATTTTCGTTGTTAGGCAATGCATCTACACGTTTGGATCGGCCGCGCGAAGCAGTCCAAGGTCGTGATTGTTGGAATTAATTGAGCAGAAGCGTTGTGCAAGTAATACAGAACTTCCATTGCGCCCATGATCCCCAGTGAGTATTGTTCACCGCGGCGTGCGATTCTGTTGACAATGCTCCGACGCAGAAGTCAGCTTGAGACTGGCTCCAGCTTCAACAAGTAGGAAGTTCCAATCAAGTTTGTGGTCGGTCGCCGTGTTCTAGCTCACAAAGCTGCTACTGTCAGCAAGCATGCGTTGATCGTCACCGCCCTGAACGGTTTGGGAGCAGCTGATTTAGCTAAGCTGAACAGTAACTTTGAAGCTTAGGCATTCGTGGCGAGCGTCATTCGTGTGTTCTACGAGTACCATTGCAATTTACAAGTACTTACACCTTAACGCTACAGTGGATTTGGTTGCAAAGCCACTAGTGCAACGCTGAAAACCCAGAAGCCAGAAAGCCCGATTTCGACTAAAGATTCGCATCCGTCGAAACTGCGAGGCACGATAATTACGTGGCACCCTATGGTAAAAAAAATTCAAAAGTAACAGTACTGGTGTTACAGCAACGGCAACTTGGGCCTTACCGCCGTGAGTCACCAGCTCGCTGATGTTGCGCTCGTGTTTTGCTGTAGTACCAGATGCCTGCTGATCCGTCCAGCCGCTGGACACCAGCGTGCGGATTAAGAAGACGGGTCGAAAGATTCATTATATTGCAGCCGTTAGCGTCGCACGAGACCTCTACAGGCGTCCGCTGGCCTCAACTGGCCTTCCACGGAAGAAATTGCGCGCGATAAGACACTGGACGCGTCCCATGTCGCGCGGCGGCCGTAGCGGTGGAGTCTCGCTGGATTTTGGCTCAATAGCTTCATAACATGTAGCGGTCGTCTTCCAAATAGCCCGATGGTCTTCCACCGTGGAAAGCTCGGCTGAGTTTTGCAAGATGATTATTCCTTCGAAGTATGACTTGTCGGCACCTTTTCACTTCACAAAAGCCGTTGAGCTACCTTATCTCAGTGTATTTACTCCTTTTCACAAAGTAAACAAGTACAAAGAAGTTGCCAGGGACGAGATCGATCTCCTTAGCTACCGAAAGATTGTGTGCGAACAAGGTGATTATATATTCCCACAGACTGGAAATTCCCCACAAGGTGTTTCTACTTATTTAAGATATTACCGTTGCAAGTATCCGAACATGGATTTTCTAGCCTGGAAGGCCGTTTTCCGACTGACCAGCTCGACTTCCCCATCTGTGTGGGCTAGAGAGCACGGCGACTACATGCACAAGTCCGTCTCACTTGAGCAGCACGGAACGCTTTCTCGTTTCTTCTGTGCAAGGTAAACACAGTGCCTCATTCTCAATTCTGCGGCGCCCCAGCCAAACGCTAGACACCTCAATATGGCAATCACCGCCGACGTCAAGAGCCAATTGTTCAAGCCTAGCTCCAATGCAGGCAGTGGCAGTGAGCTCATCCGGCTACCGTCGGATACTCCACCGTCACCCTCCAGCTCCTCAGACGGAGAGAAAATGTCGCCAACCAACACTAATGGCCGCGCGTGGACAGCGGAGGAGCACAACCGCTTCCTCGAAGGCCTCGAGCTCTTCCCTTCCGGTCCGTGGAAGGAGATTGCAGCGCATGTGGGCACTCGCACCACCCGCCAGACCATGACCCACGCACAGAAATACCGCGAGAAGATCGCTCGTCGCAAGCGCGGCCTGCGTTCGTCAGCGAAGGAAGCGCGCTCGTTGAAGCGCCGACGTGACCAGAAGAAGCGCAGCGATGCCGCGTCACCTTGCTCGGTGGCGGACCCCAAGATGTCGTTAATCCCTGCCGAGTCGGCACGGAGGGGCGTAGACCCGATGGACTTCCACGGCTGCTTCGTGCCCGGACCAGTGAGCCAGTGCCAGTTCTACGGCATGACTCCAGTGCCACAAGCAGAGTTCTCCAACTTTGCAGCCATGTTAAGCGATTTCGACCCGCTGCCCATGTCCGAAGAGGAGATTGACTTCATCCTCGAGGCTGCAATGGTGCAGACCCCAGTAGTGCAGACACACGCCGGGTTTGTCCTCTGACACGGCTTTTCAAGATCAGGATCACGACAAGATACAAGCGACAAGCAGTTCAGCGGCAAGACCAGAGCCAAATGCTCCCAAACCCCCCAAGTTGCCACGCACATGCATGTTAGTACCGTTACGTCATTGCATGTCCATTGTGGAGTATCCTTTGGAGACACGCTTCGTAGGGGAAAGTTAGAGAGAAGCGAGAATTGTACACTCCATGGCAACCGCGCAAAATAGAAACATGGGTTATCATTTATTCCCGTTTTTCCTGTTGGCAAAAGTGCCACGGATACCATCACTCCGAACTGTTCTGGGCTGCAAAAAAGTTTCAAAGCAACATGCAATTGCGGTATCTTGCTTTCAGCAACTTCAGTGTTCCTACCTGCTTTGCAACTCCCTGGTCTAATCCCAGTACTTGATGAGCCCGTCCCAGCCACATGAGACGATCTTGCTAGGCTCGAGTGGATGCCAAATGGCCCCCATGGTCGGACCACGATCGTGCGCACGCAGCTTCTTGACCATCTTGGTGGTCTTCCAGTCCCAGAACACCAGTTTACCTTCGCCATCGCCCGACATGACGTACTGGCCATTGGGGGAGAATCCGATCTGGCACGCATACCCAGCATTCTGGTGTCCTCTGAAAACCTTTTTCCGGTTGATTTTGAACTTGTCCCGAGCAGTGTACACGTCGATCTGGTTGTTCAGCGACTGGCCGGCAAAGAAGCCACCGCTCGGGTGCAACGTCACGGCCGGCATCGAGTGCATACTGGGCTCCGAGATGTACTTAATCGGCACGGGGATTCCCCATTCCCACACCAGCAGCTTCTTGTCGTCCGATGTACTTACAAAGCGCTTGTTGTCGTCCACGAACGTCACGCTATTCACAGCCTGCAAGTGGTGGTTGTACTCCTGCACGATCTCGCCTGAGCGGGTGTCAAATTGCACCACCATATTGTTCGAATCACCTACTACAAACTGCGTGTTGTCCAATGGATAAAATTTGACGCAGTACGGTACTCGACGCGTGGTGAACGAGTGCACAGCTTGTCCCGTTTCAGTGTCCCATAACTGGATAAACCGATCGAAGCTGCAACTTAAGAATTGCTTGCCATCCCTGCTAAAGTTGATACCGCGCACCGCGCCAGAGTGACCTTCGTATACACGTTGGCACGTGCGTTCGTTGTATACGTCCCATATACGCACAGTGTTGTCCATACTGCCTGACAGCAACAAGTGGCCGTACTTCGGGAACAACTCGATAGCCTGGACACCCTTGGTGTGTCCCGTCCACTTGTGTACACACCGCTTGGGTAAGAACACCTGGTGGTCTCCGTCGTCCGGTTTGAGAGAGCGTGGAGGCTCCACCCACGCGCGTCCCTGGTAGTCGTACTCTTGATCTCCTAAGAACGTCGACTTGCCTTCCAAGGCTGTCTGTCCGGCCTTCAATCTAGAAGGCAATAAGTGCGACGTCTTCTTCTCTACCATTCGGTCAAAGTCCATCTCCTCGTCCCCTTCTTCCTTCGCTTCTGCCTTACGTCGCTTGGCTTCCTGATGCTCCTCTCTTAGCGCCTTCTGCTGTTCGTTCATGGTGCCCTGTTCTGCGTCGGTCAAGTGTTTGCTCTTGTCCTTGTATGGAGCCCAAATACCGTCCGTTGTTTCGTCTCCAAAGTCCTCAGCTGCTGCGCGTTCCTTGGAAATGGTCTGGTTCTTCCTCTTCTTAGCGTTGCGTCTTGTGAACACGTCCTCTTCGCCGGTAGCGACGATATTGTCAGGTACTATCTCCCCAGGGAGTGCTGGGGCGGATGGAGGGGCTCCTTTGACCCTGTTTCGAGCGATATTGCGGCTTAAAGTTTGGTTGTACGTGTGATACTGAGCCTCGAAGCTGTAGTCTTCCATGGCAGCCTGCTCCACGACGCCTGTGACCATCTCTTTGCCGTTACCGGCGCGTAATGGGTCGGTTAGTGCCAACTCCGTTGAATCGCCGACGTGTGGCCCTACGAACGGTGCTAGAGTAGACTCCACGGGCAAATTGATGGCCAATCGGGTCTGTGATCCAGCAGACAGGAATGCGGCCTTGTTGGCCTGGTCCTGGCTGTCTGAGAGCGCCACAAACGGCGCAGAGTTGACCACAGGTAAAGATAGAGATGGCGCATCGGTCGAGCGTGGTGATGTCGAGAGCGGAGCCGTCTCGTCGTCGCTGGACGCGTACGCACCAAGCGCCTCCATGGTGATGCGTTAGCTTGGATTGGATGGTTATATTGTGTGTCGAACATAATTTGGTGTACACACCAAACAATTGAAGTTGCACTGTCTCTGCTCTCTAAAACTGCGTTATCTTTTTACTCGATCATTTAGAGCAGGTTTATTCCGTATAAGAGGCTAAATGACTTGCACATTTAGGCAATTTGTTGGAATACGTCAGCTTGGATATGCATTATTAGAGGCTATGTGCCGTTACGTCAAGGGGATGTGCCATGTTTCGTAGGGCTCCACCACCGGCCGTCATTTGCCATCTTGTGGTGGAAGAGAGAGAATCAGGTCGTCTTAATCCACATCTCCATCGCGGCGCTTGTACATTGGCTCCGTGCCTCATTCACCACTTGTCATCTTGCACTTCGTGTGCTCTTTCTCATCGTGCAAGTAGCGTCTTCATTCATCAAATACACGCGTCGCAATCCCAATAAAACCAAAAGTATCCCATGGCAGACTCTACCTGGGACCAACAGAAGGCCAAGCGCGCTTCATCGCCTCAAATCACTGGCCGTCGAGAGTCCGAGCCCGGCTTCACGGACTCTGTTACACCCAAGGCTCTGGACATCGCTGTACCCGGCGGATTCCGGCGCCACCACGTTCAAACAACCCCCCGACCCGTTGTGTCCAAAGCGCTGCGTGACCAGATCATCGACCGCATCAACAGCGTGTACGACCCCTTCATTGGTAACATATTAAGCCAGGACAATGACGAATACGATGAGATGAACGTCGAGGACCGTGCGCGTAGTCTGCTAATGACACCGCCGCCGATGACGCTCCCAGCGTATCGACGAAGCCCGAGAGAGTACGAGAACTGCAATTTGTTACTCTTTTTTTTTTGCATTTATCTGATTCGTGTTTATTTTTTGTGATTTGTGTCTTCGCAGATTGGGAACGCCAACCGAGCGAACGGAGCTCATCAAGACACAGCCAAGTCCACCGAAGTCAAAAGATAGCGACAAAACGACAACGTTGTGGCATGCTTTGTTGACATTGCTCAAGTCTTTTGTGGGGACGGGGATTTTGTTCTTACCTGATGGATTTCGTAGTGGTGGCATTCTTTTCTCGCCGTTATGTTTGACATTTGTTGCGGCGCTGACGCTCTATGCAATGCTGCGGTTGTTGCAATGCCGTGAGTTGGTTGGCGGCACGTACGGTCACGTCGGGTTTAAGGCCTATGGATCATGGGGCCGCAGGATGGTGCAGATCTCGATCATCATGATGCAGGCAGGATTTTGCTGTACATATGTGATTTTTGTCGCTCAGAACATGGCTGAAGTGCTTGCGTTCTGGGGATACAGTGTGGATACGTCTCTGCTTATCCTGCTGCAAATTGCCGTGTACATCCCGCTGTCTTGGATCCGATACATCAGCTACTTTTCCATCAGCAACCTTATCGCAGATGTGTTTATCCTGTACGGTTTGGCCTTCATTTTGGGCAATAGTTTCTGGCTACTGGCTACTCAAGGTCCTGCAAAGGATGTGGAGCTGTTCAACCAGTCCGACTACCCCGTTTTCATTGGCACTTCGATCTTTACGTTCGAGGGGATTGGCTTGGTGTTGCCTACACAGAGTTCGTTGAACCAGGCGCGTCAGAAACGCTTCCCGCGTTTGCTCTCATGGACTGTGGTCGGTTTGCTTTTCTTCTACTCGTTCTTTGCTGGAATCAACTACATTACGTTTGGCAGTGGCATTGCTCCTATGGTCACATCGAGTTTGCCGCGGAATGGCTGGTCCAGTTCGGTGCAATTTGGATACGCATTCGCTCAACTTTTGTCGTATCCTCTGTTCCTGTTCCCGGCTGTGAAGATTATGGAGGAAATGCTGGGTTTTCCAAAACGCGCATCGGGGCAGAAGGTGGCGAAGAACTGCTTCCGTGCTGTGGCTGTGCTTGTCACTATCTGCATCGCGTACTTCGGTCAGGGCCGTCTCGATCTCTTCGTGTCAATCGTTGGCGCTTTCTGCTGTGGTAAGTGTTGCGATTATTTTTTTTGCTGATATTTGGCTGTTGTCTTATTTTTGTTTTTGTTTTTTGAAGTTCCTTTAAGTTTGGTGTATCCTCCGCTGTTCTACTTGAAGCTGAACCCAAAGGCGTCGTGGCTGGACAAGATTGTCGACTCGTTCGTGATCTTCGTGGGCTTGCTCACGTTCTTCTACGTCACGTACTCAAACCTCCAGTCGTGGAGCCAGTAACTCGCACTGCTCAGAGTCTGGCAGTCCGGGTTGCCATTCAACATTAGATTTTACTACACAAATTGCTTTACCTTCAAAAATCCAGCTCGCAAATTAAAAAAAAAAATTGACACGGAACCAAATCAACATCAAGTTGTCTTCCAACATTTTTGACATGGCAAGTTGCAACTGCAACAGCAACAAATTGCAACAAAACCACATCAAAAGCAAATCAAAAGCCAACGCCAACTTGCACTTGCAACTTCAGGAAATAATCTCGATGCAAATTTCTTTCGTCCGCCTTTTGCTGCCAGACTTGGCAGACTTCTATGCACTAAAACAAAAAAAAAAGCAAATGTGGCGAGGTTCTAAAAGCTCTTCTTCCAACCTTTTGCTTAGTCGTCCTCCTCGACCTTCGGGGCGAGGTAGAAGCGCATGTAGCCCATGTCGCCGATGGCGTACTCGACGACGACGGGGATGCCCGGCGACATGCTGAGCGTTACGGTCTCGGACAGCGGCGTGGCCTTGGCGAACATATTTAAATACCGGAGCGCAAACGTGAGCTCCACGGGCTCCTCCATGGTGATGATGACACGGTCGCTCTCCTTCTCGGCGGCCGTGTTGTTCTTGAGCGTAATGTTGCCGGCACCGAGGTCGCCCGAGACGGAGAACTTGACGCCCTCCTTGCCAACGGCAATAGTGCACGTGTCGCCCATGGTCTGCAGGTCGCGGCAGATACGCTGGAACTCGCCAGAGGGCATACGCACAGTTGCCACATACTCCGTGCCAGGGATACCCAAGTGTTCACTGTCAATGTCCATCAACTTGAGCGAAAAGTCCGACACACGATCGCCGGCTGCAAAAGAAAATATCGGCAAAAGATTAGTCGTCATAAAACAAGTTGAAAAAATAATTTGCAAAAACGTACAAGTGGCCTCGAACATAATGTTAAGCGCATCGCCGTTGTCCTCGGCAGAAAGCGACAGCGCTTCGTCGTTGCCGGAGCACTTGAGGATTTTGGACAGCGACGCCGTCTGCACACCCAGCGAGATGTTGCGGTCGCAACGGTAGTGCTCAAAGCCCTCGGCGCGCAGCAGAAGCGACACCAGCGACACATGCGAGCCATCCATGGACTGCAGCGCCAGCCCAGACTTGGTGCAGTCGATGTTGCCCTCGGAGATGAGGTCCTTCATGGCCTCCACGATAAGCTTGACGATGCGGCCCTGGGGGAGTCGTGCCTCGAACATGATTGCGTAATAATGTGTCTAAAGTGAAGGGGGCTGGGAGAAAACCTGTGTCTGAACCTGACGATGCAAATTGCCGACTGTTAGCTACGCTTTTTTGGTTGGTGTCGGCGTCGGAAAGTTTTTGGCGCGAAAAGGCTGCGGGCAGGAGGACACGAGGACGCAACACTTGAGTTTTGTAAGACTGAAGGGAGGGGTGAATTCTCTCCCGCCAAAATGTGAGTTTTAGACGAATGGGGAGGAGGAAAAGACAGCAAGCATGTGATTGGAGGAAAATGATACGTAACCTGGGGAGTGTAACCCAAACTTCAACGTGTACCCCGATCTGTGACGTGGCGCAGGGTGTTCATGGCAACTTTTCCAGACGAGGGAGATTCGCAGCAGGTTGTCGTCTTGTTCGCGTAGTAGCTTGTGGACGGGGCGGAATAGCCTGTGAACGTTGCGAGTTGCCACCAACGCTGGAGATGCACAAGTCTGGAGACCCAAAATTGACATTTCTATCGCTGGTGTGCACTGATTTGGCCGCTAGCTTTGCTGGTTGTGATAATGATCGCACGTGCGGATTTGGTCGAGGCTTGGGCTTGAGTTTTCGCAGTTTTCCTGCTTGAAGTGCTAGACGCACTGGTGGTAGGACAGTCGGTGATGGTGGAGGGTTACGTTGGTTCCAGTGGTTGTTGTTGCTGCTGAATAGTGACCGTGAGGCTGTGCAGCGGAGAGCATTGGCGTCGTCTTTTCGTCGCATACGTCCTTGAGCGAGAAGCGGTCGGACTATTTCGCTGCTATGAGGTTCTTCGACGTCTTCTGAGCTTACAGGATCTGCTTCTTCTTGATTGGTTCTTGTGGGCTCTGTTGTGAAAGACTTGGCAACGTGACAGTCGCGTAGAACGTGATACTCTACAGCTGCAATGTCGGGAAAGTTTCCTTGTAAGCAGTATACACACTCGATAGCATTCTGGCTTGGAGTTGTGGTTGCCACGCTTGTTTCGGGTTTAAGTAACGTAGATTCTTGTCGAGCAAACGCTGCGCACTGCTGTTCATGCGTGTCAAGGTCCGTGATTTTGACGTATGACTTGCATTCCTGCAACAACAACAAAAAGACGCACAGTTAGTCCACCATCCTTAGCGTAATTCACCATTTTCCTGTACTTACATCACAGCGCTCAGTTCGACTGGAGCACATGTGAGTGTGTTGTGTAATTTCCAGCTTCTTAAAAGCCAACCCGCACAAAGAACACTGCAAGAACTTATTAGTATGTCAAATGATTCAGAGGAAGCAAATTTTGTACGCACAGGCATTAACGCGTGGGCGCATTGTCGGTTGTCTAAGTGATTTTGCAGCTCTGCACGTGTGAAAAATGCATGGCATAACGAGCACTTGCTGGAAGCAGTGTGTTCATTTCGCTGATGGTCTGCTAGTGTTTCATTGTTGTCGCAGAGGACAGAGCAGTCCGGGCAGTGGTGATGCCGACTTTCGTGAATACGCAAGATTTTTTCTTGACAAGTCGAACATTCGAACTGCAGCAAGAAATGTAAGCTACACTATCAAACACTTTGCAGTAACGAACCGTGGTTGCGTACCTTGTGATACGCCGGGTTCTTGGCACATCGTAGAGTGTGCAGCTCCATGTTTATCATTGTAACATTAGCCAGACATAAGTTACACTTGGTAACACTTGGCGAACCGCTAGAATCGGAATGAACCACTTGATTGACAACGACATTGCTGATTGGAGAGTCAATATTCGCAGACTTTCCACCTACTGCAGTTGTTGCAGTACCAAGAGTGTAACCGGTTGTGGAGAAAGCCCTTTGGGCCGAACGAAGCCGAGCCGCAAGTTCCGGAGAATCATTAGCTGTAGCCATTACAGCAACGGCTTCAGTCGGTACAGTTTTGGATTCTCGGACATTTTGTTGAGCTCTTTGGAGGCTACCCATCGGGAGTTTGCGGTGTACTTTTTCCTTCGAAATTGCGGCTTTGTCAGTACAGATCTCCATGTAGCCACCATCTCGCAATCTTCGTCCATGACCAATTAGAGTTATCGGAGCATTATTTGGAGCAACAGTCGTTTTGATGATAGGCATTGAAGGAGATGATTCACTTGTGCTTTTGCTTAATGTCGTCGGTTGTGCTGTCGATGGTCTTTTGGGATCCGCTTTCTAAGATTCAAGAACCAATACGTTGGAAAGAGGCTTAAAAGATGTGTTATGAAATATCGTAGAATTTCTCGAAACTCACCTCAGGAGGCATAAAATCCGTCTCTAGATCAACATCACCACACAAACTAACAACTGCTGCTGGTTTTAGCTCCACCACTCGGACGTTATATCGGACACTACCGTATTCAATCACAATAGTTGAGCCCGTGCTCAAGACCGAGTATCGCCGCAGTGCTGTCTCCATTAACAGCTAGTAACACAGTTCAGTCAAAGTCCAAAACCTTAAAAAAAAATATCGACTTTCTGTACCTTTGGACCAATCTCCGCCGCAAGATCGAGAAAACTTGTGGTTTCTGGTTGCAAGCGACAGTACACACCACGAGGAAGGTTGACTACGCTTGTTACCACGACAGAGCCACCTTCACGAACACCTAAATTCTGCATCAACCAGTATGGTACGAAAACTTGTCCATCGGGGGAGCTGAACTCCTGAACAGAACAATATTGACTGGATATGGCTAGATCTCCTTCTGGTTGGTTATCTTGACCTGCAGCTCGAACCTGTCCAGTTCAAAACCACCATGAATTCTTTTTTTTTTTACCTATGGCTGGCATTTAGTGCGTATTGCTTTACCATGAAGATTAGTGGAGTTGGGATTTTCAGGCATTGTAGATCGACTAGGATTTTCTGTTCAATTTAAGTCAAAATCTGAGAAATACTTGGATTTCCATTCGTTTGAGTAAGTAATCTTACCGGTGGGAGCACGATCTTGTCGCCGAATTCAAGGTGAGGCATGTCTACAACAGAAAAGTAACACAGCTTTAGTTTTATCAGCTTGAAGAATCGCGATATTGATGCGAAGGATGGATTACCGAGACAAGCAACCGAGAAGCATTGCAGCGTGTGTGATGGTAAAAGTGCTCTACTTGAAGATTTGTGGATGCTGTCGTCGGCTTCTTCCGGTCGCAGTTGCGAAGGAAGCCTT